GGGGTCATGAAATTCACTACTCTGAAAGAAGCACTCCTGCTCATCATAACTATACACTTAGCTTCTTTGCTTTTTTAATCAGAAGCAGAAAAGAATATTTTCAAAGAAATTTTGCTTTTTCACTTTATAATCAATAGAAGCCCCCCCCCCCCCTTCACCAGAACCCTTAAACCTGGGGTCATAAAATTCACAATTTTGGAAGAGGCATCCTTGCGTACCATAACAATGTACTTAGTCTGTTTAAACAATACACAGGGGCAGAGAAGAAGATTTTCAAAGAAATAATTCACCTTCACTATAGGATCTATATAGCCCCGTCCTAGCACCAGAACTCCTGTCCCCAGGGCCATGAATTTCACAATTTTGGAAGAGGCATCCTTGCTTATCATAACAATGTACTTAGTTTGTTTAAATAATACCCAGGTGCAGAGAAAAAGATTTTTAAAGAATTAAAACATTTTCACTTTATTATCAATAGAGCCCCGCCCTAACACCAGAACCCCTGATCCAGGGGCCACGAATTTCACAATTTTGGAAGAGGCATCCTTGATTATCATAACTATGTATTTAATGAGTTTCAATAATACCCAGGAGTAGAGAAGAAGATTTTCAAAGAATTAATGCATTTTCACTATATAATCAATAGAGCCCCACCCTAACACCAGAACACCTGATCCAGGGGCCATGAAATTCATAATTTTGGAAGAGGCACTCTTGCTTATCATAACTATGTACTTAGTTAGTTTATCTAATACTCAGGAGCAGAGAAGATTTTCAATTAATTAATACATTTTCACTATATAATCAATAGAGCCCCACCCTAACACCAGAACCCCTGCCCCTGGGGCCATGAAATTCACAATTTTGGAAGAGGCACTCTTGCTCATCATAACTATGTACTTAGTTACTGAATTTAATACCAAGGAGTAGAGAAGAAGATTTTCAAAGAATTAATGCTTTTCCACTATATAATCTATAGAGCCCCGCCCTAACACCAGAACCCCAGACCCTGGGGCCATGAATTTCACAATTTTGGAAGAGGCACTCTTACTCATCATAACTATATACTTAGTTAGTTTATTTAATACCCAGGAGCAGTTTCACTATATGATCTATATAGCCCCGCCCTAGCACCAGAACCCCTGCCCCTGGGACCATGAAATTCACAATTTTGGAAGAGGCACTCTTGCTCATCATAACTATGTACTTAGTTACTGAATTTAATACCAAGGAGTAGAGAAGAAGATTTTCAAAGAATTAATGCTTTTTCACTATATAATCTATAGAGCACCGCCCTAACACCAGAACCCCAGACCCTGGGGCCATGAAATTCACAATTTTGGAAGAGGCACTCTTACTCATCATAACTATATACTTAGCTAGTTTATTTAATACCCAGGAGCAGAGAAGAAGATTTTCAAAGAATTAATGCATTTTCACTATATAATCAATAGAGCCCCACCCTAACACCAGAATCCCAGACCCTGGGGCCATGAATTTCACAATTTTGGAAGAGGCACTCTTACTCATCATAACTATATACTTAGTTAGTTTATTTAATACCCAGGAGCAGAGAAGAAGATTTTCAAAGAAATAATGCACTTTCACTATATGATCTATATAGCCCCGCCCTAGCACCAGAACCCCTGACCCTGGGGCCATGAATTTCACAATTTTGATAGAGGACTCAATGCTTATTACAATGATGCCAACAGTTTGACTGCTTGATGTCCAGGAGTAAAGAAGAAGATTTTTAAAGATTGCATTAATTTTGGTGGTTTTAGCCCTACCCCTCAGGCCCCAGGGGGGCAGGGATCGCCATAAAATTCACAATTTTTGTTCCCCTTCACCCATAGATGCTATATGCCAAATTTGGTGGAAATTGGTTGAGCGGTTTCAGAGAAGAAGCTAAAAATGTTCAAATGTTAACGCACATCGCACGACGCACGCCGACGGACAAAAACGGATAGCAATAGGTCACCTGAGTGACTCAGGTGACCTAAAAATAAGAATAATGTTGTGCAAGTACCTGCTAAAGTACGTTACTATACATGATAAGATTGGGAAAACACCGTTTTAGATACTTTGTCTTGTCTTATATATGCAGTTGAATCATTTTGACATGGATGCATGTCTGTTTGTTTGTTTTTATTTTGAAAGAGTTATTAAATCACCCATAACTTTGATTACTTTCTTTTGATATTACATGTTTGATATTTCCATTAAGGATATTAATTTTTATTATGTGAGGAATTTCTTTAATCATATGGACAAATGGGGGAAATGGCAAGGAATTCCATATATCGTACATGTAGTCGACTTTAAAATTCCTTACGTTAACCTTTAGAAGTATCATAGGGGTTTAATTTACCTTTGTAAGTTGTGACAAACAAGGTGGATCCAGGATTACACCCGAGGAAAGTAGGAGGGTGGGGACATGTGCGAGCAAAATTGAGTAAAATATCAATATAAGTATATATATATATTTAAAATGTAAACATATTTTCTTTGTATGGGTCTAATCTTATGCTTCAAATGAGTTAAAAGGTATTAAAATACACTGGTTTCTAATTCTCTCTATTATTCTGGGTCATTCATATTTTAAGAGATAAAAAAATTGGGAGTTGGGTGCACCAGACACCCCCCTGAATCCGCCAGTAATGAATTTTTAAGTTCTATTCGGCAAGGCAAGAGTTAATTCATCAGAACTTAAACATACGTACCACTTTAATCCATTCAATGCTTATATAATGAAAATGAAACTTTATGAGATATTTTACGGTTATAAAATCCAAATATTTAATTAATTCCAAGTCAAACAGATTCCAAGCGTGTAATTTTACTTTATTTATTTATTTTAAATATATCTGGTCGTGTCGAGCTATTTCATTTAATTGGCTTTCTTTACTACATGTTTATGGGCCTCGGGCCTTTTCAATAAAATGCCAGCAAATCCTTTTTGTCTCTCCGCTTTAGTGTCAAAAACTTTAACTATTCATGATCAGAATGTTACGGCCTTCCACAAGTGCTGTCTTTTTTGTCGTGTTAACTACAGAAAACTAAGACATGTGATGTGTCTTTGTATCCGGCTGCATCATCTTGAATCTTTCTTGGGGATATCAGTTACTACTTACCATTGATTGTGGATATCAGTTATTACTTACCATTGATTGTGGATATCAGTTATTACTTATCATTATTACTTATCATTGATTGTGGATATCAGTTATTACTTACCATTGATTGTGGATATCAGTTATTACTTACCATTGATTGTGGATATCAGTTATTACTTATCATTATTACTTATCATTGATTGTGGATATCAGTTATTACTTATCATTATTACTTATCATTGATTGTGGATATCAGTTATTACTTACCATTGATTGTGGATTTCAGTTATTACTTACCATTGATATCAGTTATTACTAATTGATTGTGGGAATAATCTTCATTATGGATAACCTTGGTACTAGTAATGCATCATCAGTTATGCCCGAATTTAAAAGAGCGCTCACTTCTCTTCGGTAAAGCTATAGAGAATTTCATTTAATAAATAATGAAAAATTGCGAATGGTGATTGCTTATTGAAGATGTATATAATATTGATCCATGTTCAGTACATTTTTATGTACTGTTTGTTCTATACCGTATATATGCCTCCTCTGTGTCTTTATCTATATCTAGTTTTTGTACTGTTATTGTATATACTTATATTGTACTTATATTGTATGGTTTGCCGGACTAGATGCACCTTTTTATTATTTCCATAGCAGGGCCGTAGGAACGTTTAACATAGCCTGTACAATAGAAGTAAAACCCATGTTAATATAGGTTGTGTCCCCTCAAATCAAGTCTGATGACTTTTTCTATGTCAAAAAATTTCGGTTGTGCACCCCTTCTCCTCACAATGAATTGGTTCGTTTCGACCTATATGCAGATGTGTATAATGATTTGGCGATGATTAGAAAGCATGATTTGACTGTCACATGAACATTTGAGTCCTTACGTTGTAACGAATAGCATTCACACCTCTATGTTTTAAAATAATATGTATGTTTCTTACGTATTTAAAAAAAATTCAAACAATTTAAAAAAAAAACTCAGTTGAGAAAAAGTGTATATTGTAAGGGTCTTTTTGATGTCAGATTAGCACAGTTTTTAATTAAGTGAAACCCCTTAGCAGCTGATGATGATTTTTTTTAATTTTGTAATATTTTTAAAATTTACTTTTAATTCATTAATTTTTGGTTTATCAAGAAAAAGGTTGCAAATTGTAAACTTGTAGACTTATTAATTATTTGAGTCTCGGATCCTGGAATTTTGTATTATTCTATATATAGAAAAAAAAATCCAGTGAAACACTTAAGTTGATATATTTCAGGGACAATCGATGAAAATTATAATTAGATGATCATTATAGTTAATGTACAACGAAGCATGTGAAATATATATACATGTATAGAGCTAAACAGAAAATTTCAAGTTTTATTTTTTTAGTTAAAAAAAAAAGACAATCAAGACAATGGGTAATCCTATTGTGTCTCAGATTCTGTTTTATTTTTTTTTTTTTTTTTATTTCATGGACAAATTTGAACTCCAAGTTGAACGTCATCTGAAAGACAATATTTTTATTTTGATTTTTACTGTTTTAAATTTTTTTTTTTTAATTCCTCATTAAAGTGCACTTAATTTGTTTTTACAGTAATATTTTAACCTTTGAAGAAATTTATCTACACATTTCAACGCATTGGATATATTAAACATACCTCCACCCCCTTTTCAACACACATTTTCGGAATATTCATTTTTCAAGTAAAGAAAAGTAACTCGTACTTCAGGGTTGTCAATGGAAGCGGAAGTTTATTGGAGAGGTAGTAAACACGCATGCTCCGTTGGACATGATTTCGCGGATTAATAATTATTTGCTAAATTCATAACATAAAGTGAGGAAATTGCAAATTTTGAATACGCTTAATAATTGCATGACTAGTATTGATCTATTTACGTTATAGCAACTGACAGTAAACAAGAAATCACAGTGATTCTTTGCACATTCTTTTCTCGTGGAAGTTTATCCGCCAAATATTTCAGCTGTTGTTCGGTCGTGTCAACACTGAAGAGTGAGGTAACTTCTGTTGAATTTTATGTTCTGAAAAAGCATCAGAAATACATATTTATCGTTATTCGCCTGATACAAGGTGATGCATTAGACTATGAGTAAAAGTAAATGTGTTGAAAACTTGCAAGTTAAAGATAGAAATTTTAAAATTAAAATATTTTGCAATCCCGAATATTGTGCAGACCGAATTCATGAACTAAGTAACGTATTCTTAGTGACATGTTTTATGTTCTAAATTATTGGTAACAGTAATCTCGCAAAGATCGAGCTCATTTATTTATGGTTGTCACATCAGCTTTTCTTAGGGACATGCATTGCATACAAGCCTTATGAGTGTAGTAACGTGTCATGAAATGTATGTTTCCATTTACTTGTATTTCTTTAAAGTAGAATAAATAGTATTATGAGCATAATCATGTTATGAAATTCCTATATTTTCCACAATCTGAAATTAATTCTAATTATTTATTTAGGAAACTGTAGAACAAACTTGTTTAACTGAACTCTAGAGGTGTCTGGGTAGGTACATGTGAACTCTAGAGGTGTCTGGGTAGGTACATGTGTACCTTTAGTTCTGGGATTTCCATTATTTCTCTGGTTTTCTTTCAATTCTTTCTTGTATCAGTCTGTCAGTATGGGATTAAACTGATATGTGTTAATATACTCTCTTTCATTGTAAAGTTGTTCTTTCATGGGTAACCAGTTAAATCATAGGAGTCATCAATTTTATCAGTAAATTTAAAGTCAAGTCAAATGAAGCAAAATCCCAGCCTTGAGTTTCGCTCATGAAGTGTGCAATGCTCAAGGCTTGGACTTTGCTTACGTTGACTTTATTTCATGTTTACTGATAGTGCAGGGTGTTTTCTGACTCGTATGGTTTAATACAGGATCTAGAATTTTATCAAATACATAAGCATCTAAGAAAATGATACATTGTTTTTTGTTCGTTTTTTTTTTTTTTTGGTTTTATAAACTGATTGTAAAGTCTGCAGTTACACTTGTAATTATTTACTTTTTAAGGATGAATCTAAAACTAGTTTGAGTTACCTGACTGTGTAAAATTTTATTAAATTCATTCTTCTGTGGATTTCTTCTACATCACAGGGGCTGAAAAATAGATTTTCAAGTACTTGCCCATGGGCAAGTGCATAGTCAAAATTTACTTGCCCTACTTGAAGTTTTACTTGCCCCACCATAAACTATAAAAAGTAGGAAAACAAATTAAGAAAATGATCATTACATGTACACTTACATGTACACTTATATAAACTAAGACATTTTTTTCTTGAAAAAGTCAATTGCCCTTTGGCAAGTGGTTAGTAAAAATTCACTTGCCCATCCCTAAAATTCACAAATCCCGGACATCAGACTGTCTAATGGAATTTGTCAGCCACTGAACGTCAAACATAATGTCAGTCAATCAAGGAACCTATAATTCCTATGCATTTCTGCTCATAAGGCAGTGGAGTCAACATTACAACATTACTTAATATTATATTGGCAATTTTTTTTTGTTGTTGTATAAAGATTAGTCATTGCAATGCCTTGTTAATCAATCTTTTTCTATGCATTTATGTTGGAACATGGGTAACTAAAAGTGAACAACAGATATGAATTCTATTTTTGATCATGATGACTACGTGTTTGAAACAAAAATTATAAATATTATTAGAAAAAAGGATTTCAAAGCATATTCTGATTCAAAAGATCCAGATATCCTGATAATGTACAGTAAATGAGGAGATTTTTTTTTTGTAGAAACAATGACAGATTGCTTCTCCAAGCTATTGAAAAACATACAAAATAAATTCATTAAAGACTTTATCTTTTTTAAGGAATGTGAAAGACAAACATAACAATGATAACTGAATAGAGATAAATAAGAATCTGCAGGAATGTTTGTTGGGTTTTTGTGGAAATATTTTTTTGATTTAAGTATAGGATATAAACTTGTCATTGTAGTGTTGCCAACAAAATCAAGATGGGGAAGAAAGTTGAGAAATCACTGAAGGGGGAGAAAAACCAGTCAGCTGTAAGTCAGGACGAGGAGGATCCAAACAAAACACCAGGTATCCATAGTAACAGCTAGGTACAGGGTATCCATAGTAACAACTAGGTACAAGGTATCCATATTAACATGTAAACTAGGTACCAGGGATTTGTTGTGACATTAAAACCACATATTAAATGATGTCTATGTACCCCTACCACCTAATGCAATCATTACATAAACTCATTGTGATCAAAATTATAAAAACTAGGGAGACATTTTACATAAAAAACATCAATGAAAGTTCAGTCATATTTTCTTTAGCTACAATTTTACCCTTATTGACTGCTCTTGAACATCAGTAATCCAAAGGAATGGAAAATAAATCAACCATGAATCCAACCATTTGTAGGTATACCTTCACACAACATTTGCATACAATTTATTACTCTCTACCATCGGCTCATACATTCACCTCTGTCGTTAGCTTTTGTTGGCTCTATATCACCGTGATAAGCAGGAGAAATAGTTGTTTGTTTTAATTCACATTATATTCAAATGCCTGTGCTAAAGTTTGTCCTTTAAGGTAGATATTTACTAAGTAGATCTAGAACTATTAGTTCATTTTTAAATTATCATTGGAATATCATGTTCTTTACTCTTTTTTTTAATCTTGATGCGAGCCCATTGCAGAAGTGTCTGAGATAGGAATGAATGACTGATTGACCTGAGATAGGAATGAATGACTGATTGACCATTTATCTTGTACCTTATATAAAAATGACACAGTAGAGTACATTTGCTCCTTTCTGATATTACATATCTCAAAAAACAAACATATACAAATAACACTAAACATCTTTTGTGGCATTATAATTGATTTAATATAACCAGTTGTCAGGGTTTTCAGAGCTTTTTTTTTATAATTAACCATTATGACAATGATTTAATTTGAAATAGATTGTGTGTTCAGTTAAATCATGATTGGTTAGTGGTTTATTGATTAATATCAAGCATAGATGTCCAGTCCTCTGAGCAAAAATAAATCTTCATTCATGTGATGTCTTTCACTATATCACCTCTCTCTCTCTCTCTCTTTTCTTTCCTTTCTTCTTTCTGTGTCTGTCTGTCTGTCTGCCAGTACCTAAAGAGAGTTTTCATAAGGAGGCGTCTGTACGTTTTCTTACTCCCGTAGATCCACACAGACCACTAGGTGAGATAACAGAATTTCTTTGCCTATTTATAACCCAGACAGCATGCTGCTGGTACATGATTGTCTTAATTAGTTTGCCGTCAGATTATCTTTTAATGACCACGGCACATTTTTTGCTTGTTTAATACATGTATGAATTTTATTTTATGTACTTTTTGATGTTACTTCAACTTAACTTGTTTTTCAATTTGCTTGTTATTCAAAAATGCATGTGAATTTTGAAAGTTTTAGAAATAATAGTTTGGTCACTTATGTTTTAAACTTATGTTGTTAGTATGAACATTCAAAGAAATTGATAGCCATTTAGGTACAGAATATAAAGGTGAACATATGCTGAATATTTGTTCTATTTATACAGCACTTTGCTGATTATTTGTTCTATTTATAGAGCACACTCTGATTATTTATTCATTTATAGAGCCATACAGCTGCACAGGGAATTTCCAGGCTGACTTTACAGAACTGTGTCGTCGTAATTCCATGGTAGCTATACCTCCTGTGATTCACCGAGCGCGACCTCCGACCCAGGCTGCACCGGAGAGCAGTAAACCGGAGAAAGGGAAAGATAAAGGCAAGAGTGCGGTTCCTGAACCGGAACCAGAGCCGGAGGTGGATCCGGAAGGTGGTGGGTGCTTGTGCTTTTTCTAACCTGTTAACAACTCATGTGCATTTATTCCGTCCAGTGATTGAAATGACCTCGTTACAATATTTTTAAAGCCATCCAGTATCTTGTACGATGAGCAGTGCTTTTTTTCTCCTGCAAAGATATCAGTTTCACTGATATTTAAAATGTGGTACTTTATCTTCTCTACCCCTATGCCACCTCCCCATTCATCCCCTACAAAATTCATTCCTTGCCTTCCCTCGTTTTATCTTCCCTATCCACTCCTCATAACCCCCCCCCCCCCCCCCCCCCCACACACACACACACACACACACACACACACAATAAATTTAAACATTTCACTTTATTTTTTTACCCATCTTTACATCTAGAAAGCATCTTCTATATATCAGAATTTGAAATTTTGAGATTGTATCTACAACCTTCTGATTGTGATGCTTAGTTTGTCATGAAAAGTGAATTTTAGATGCCACCATCATTAAATTGTGTGGTGAATAATCTATACAATAAAGATTCAAGTGGACAAATATCATGCCAAAAATGATTATACTGTGACGGAATTAAGGTAACAGTGTTCTAATCAAGTTTTAATCTCTCCGTCAAATGAAAGATTATATCTTAACTCACTGTTAAAAATCTCCCTGCTGAAAATGTGTGATGTTTTGAATGGGAATAGGGTTACTTCTTTAACATGTTCTGACCTCCATATGAATTACTCATTTGAATTCGTACCTTAGATAGATTCTACATGCTTTTGTATGTTAATTTAATGTTTTGAATTCTTACTTGAAATACTTTGAACTAATGATGTGGTAAAAAAAATATCTTGTGTGAAATTATTTCCTCTGTTCTTTTATATTGTCTTTGCTTAACTCACCCAGGATTACATCTTACTTATGTTTAATTTATTGAAAACATTAATCTTTCAAAGAAATTCTTCTTACAACTAAAGATAAAATTATATTTATATCAATATATTTGTGTAATAGATCAATAATTACAAAAGATTTCAATTTATTTATTAAAAATTCCATGGTAATAGAAATGTGTTCAGTTTAACAATTGATTTTTCTCACTCATTTTGTATTGATAATGCATTTCAATGAATAGCTGTAAAATAAGGTCCACTTTGATATGAGCTTGACTTCATTATAAGCAGTGTTTTACTGTATGCATAATATACTGGTATATACAGAATTTTGTTTAACATGGGTTAATACTTTGATTGATGTGTACAGAAAATGCCGAGCCGCCACCTAAGACCTACATCGTCAAGGATAAGTTTGAATACTTTAAACCGTCCATCCAGGTAGAAATGGAAAATTATGATAAGCCTGAGACTGTAACAGAAATCTACATCAGGGGTAAGTTAACATTAACGTCATTTAGAGGTTGACAGACATTTCAACTAATGAATATTTCTGAGAAAAACTGATTTAAAATAACCTTATAGAATTCACATTCAATGAAGGTTCTATAATGTACTTAAGTATTTGAACACATCTCTGTGTACATTTTAATTTGTATACTTGTATATCATTTATTGTATATCACTATATTGCTTGCTAGATAATTTAACACTTTGGTCATCTAACTTGATAAAATTAAACGAATTTGTGAAATTCATATTCATTTGCTCAAAGAATTGTCATTAACTTGTAAAACTATGACATCAAGAAAATGCTTTAGAAAGTTACAACATGTTGACTGTTTGATTGAAGAATATATAAACAAAATGATAAAATTTTAATAGGTTGGAAAATAGATGACATCATGATGAACACACTAAAGCAATGCTTGTCTGTGATGGAGAAACTTCATACCATCAAGTAAGAGGCGGGGACAAGTTAATGTAAATAACTCTATATTAGTAAGAATTTCATTTTCAGGTAATTACATGAGGCTGTCTTCTCACGATAATTTCATTCTTAGTAAAGATAACATACAATATAAACCTAAATTCATGGAAAGTTTGTCTCATGTAAAAATGCCAAATACCTTTTTTGTGAAAATAAGGTGATCTAAAGTGTGTAAATGGATGATGGCTGCAGCTGATCAGTTAAAATATCAGATGAAAACAATGTTATGAAAATATATGCACTTTTTACCAAAGGATGAAATTTAAAAACACATTTGTCATGAACAGAGTGTTTTCAGTGAGCATGTTTTATAAATATTGATTTTATTTTCTCGTTTTCAGTTTATGGAACACAGGTTTAACAGGAGAGACAGTCAGTATTATGGCAAGCACACTGCCAAGTATAGTCAACCTCAGGTAATCCCCCTCCCTCTCTCACTCTCTCTCTCATAGATACAGAGCAAACACACTGCCAAGTATAGTCAACCTCAGGTAATCCCCCTCCCTCTCTCACTCTCTCTCTCATAGATACAGAGCAAACACACTGCCAAGTATAGTCAACCTCAGGTAATCCCCCTCCCTCTCTCTCTCTCTCTATTTTTCTTTCTCATAGATACAGAGCAAACACACTGCTAAGTATAGTCAATCTAAGGTAATCTCTCCCCCTTCTCTCCCTCCCTCCCCCTCTCTCTTTGTCATAGATACAGAGCAAGCACACTGCTAAGTATAATGAATCTTTGGTAATCCCACTCTCTCTAGCAGCTACTGTGGAATCATCATTGTTCGTGGGGGACCAATGTTCGTGGATTTCGTGGGTCACCCTTACCTATGAATTTATATCCCCACGAACGTTTATTTGTAAAGATATTAATTAATTGAATCTACCGTTTAAACAAGTAATCCACCAAATTACATCCCCACGAACAAGTAATATTTTGCTTGCCCACGAACATTGACCCCCACGAATTAAAATGATTCCACAGTACTTTGTTAAAAATACTTTTTTTTCTCCTTGATAAGGGTATATTATGGATTCAGTATATATCTTTTTGTGTTTCTGTTGCAGGACTTTAATTTTAGATGGGAATGTTGTTAAAGAGGAGAACTGGCATGAACTGATTACAGATGAAAGTCCGTAAGTACATTGTTATGAAAGTCCATAAGTACATTGTGATGAAAGTCCATAAGTACATTGTGATGCAGTACAGTGTCTGCCTCTACACACATCTACAGTTTAAGTCATAAATGTTGTTAAGATCTTTTGATGTTGCATAATTCAGAAGATTTATTAATATATGTCTACAGCATTTACTTGGAAAATGTCTCTCTTACTCCTTATTATTAGACATGAGTAAACATTTTTCTGCATTTTCATTGTGACTGATCCATATAAAAATACTGGCTTTCAGACAAATCAGATAAATGTACTATGTAATTTGTTTTAGTGTACAAAATCTTTCCTTGAGACACTGTGGAATCACAGACAAGGGGGCAAAATCTATAGGAGAAGCCCTGGGGACAGTGAAGCGAGCCAACAATAAACTGGTTACCCTTAACCTGGCAGGGAACCAGATTTCAGATCAAGGCACAATAGACATAGCAAATGTAAGCATTTGAATTTTTTGTTTGATTTTTGTTTATTTTTTGTTTGATTTTTGTTTTTTTCCTTATTTTAGTATAATTGTCGCCAAAATTACAGACTTCCAGTGTAGTTATTGAGTTGTCATAAAAGCATATTACTTGTGTTTTCAGGGTTTAAGGATGAACCGTACTTTGATGTCTTTGTCTCTTGCCAGTAACCAAGTTGGAGATAAGGGCGCCATCAAACTAGGGGAGGTAAGTACAATGGTCAGATAAAAAATTATTCTGTCTAAAAAATTGAAATTAAGAGATCAGAAAAAATTTCCACACATAATAATTAAAACATTTTCTAAAATGAATCTTGTGTCCTTTGCAAATACACTCACCAGTACTAGCATCAGTACTATAGACAGGGTAATTTGTACCACCATTTTGTTTTCACCCTAGTCGATAAAGGGCAAATTTTAAAAATTTGGCAAATTCAAATTGATCAACATCATATCTTAAAGACAACTTTTAACTGTGTTTGGGTATATTTTAAATGAGCTAAAATTAATGGAAAGTGTGAGAATTATTATGTAGTTTGTAGTGAAGGATTAAATCATAATTAGGGCCCAGCTCTGCGGGCGCCCTATAGTGATCAGTCTGTGCGTCCGTCCGTCTGTCCGTCCGTCCGTCTGTCCATCCGAGATCTCTTGCCCGAAGCATATCTTCTCTCTCCTTGGCCCAATCTGGCTCATACTTCACCCACAGAGTGTCTTTGGGAAAAGGGTGTGCAGTGACCTTGAACCATGTTTCTAGGTCTAAGGTCAAGGTCATAACAGAATTATATGAAAAATCCTTGTCCGGAGCATATCTTCTCTCCTCTTGGTCCAATGTGACTCATACTTCACTCACAGAGTGCCACTGGTCAGTGGATGTGCAGTGACCTTGAACAAAGTTTCTAGGTCAAGGGTCAAGGTCAAAAATAGCCTCTCTGGTTAAATTCTTGTTCGGAGCATATTTTCTCTCTCCTTGGCCCAATCTGGCTCATAGTTCACCCACAGAGTGTCTTTGGGTAAAGGGCATGCAGTGACCTTGAACCATGTTTCTAGGTCTAAGGTCAAGGTCATAGAAGAATTATATATATGAAAAATCCTTGTCCGGAGCATATCTTCTCTCCTCTTGGTCCAGTGTGGCTCATACTTCACTCACAGAGTGCCACTGGTCAATGGATGTGCAGTGACCTTGAACAAAGTTTCTAGGTCAAGGGTCAAGGTCAAAAATAGCCTCTCTGTTTAAAATTTTTGTTCGGTGCATGGTTTCTTTCTCTTATTAGTCTAGTCAGCCTCAAACTTTACCAATTGACGTAGGGTACAGAACATTTGTGAATTTCCTTCCATATTTTGATACATATGCAACAGTTTTCATAGAGGATATGCAACATTTGTGATTTTTGTGCTGCTTTTTGATAGAGGGTATGGAGCACTCGTGATTTTCATGCCATTTTTTATTATAACAAGGTTGACATAGAAGCCCTTTAGACTCAAACAACACATCCCTTAATAGTACACAAGTGTTCCTCTTCAAAAGAAACCCTTTTCAGCTCCTTTACTTTTTCATGTTCCTTGCTGAAAGCGGGGCCCTTTGAGATGGCCACCATCTCAATGATATCTAGTTTCTTTAAAAGCCAAGAGAAAGTGTATAATCCTGATCTTATGTCACTAGGAGGTTGTATCATTATTTGTGGGATTTTATTTGTTAACTTGATCAATTGATGAATCAGCAAAGTTTATTTAATGACATTGTTATTGTTATAATTACAGGTGCTGTCTAGATTTCCTCTGACACATGAGGAGGTGGTAGAGAGGAGGAAACAGAAATCTTCTCAGGGTTCCCCCGACAGAAATAAATCAGTAAGGGTCACTCAAACGTTCCATTTATTGACCTCAGTACGGGTCACTCCAACGTTCCATTTATTGACCTCAGTAAGGGTCACTCAAACATTCCATTTATTGACCTCAGTAAGGGTCACATTGTAGTCAAACATTCCATTTATTGACCTCAGTAAGGGTCACTCAAACGTTCCATTTATTGACCTCAGTAAGGGTCATATTGTAAGCAAACGTTCCATTTATTGACCTCAGTAAGGGTCATGTCCTACTCAAAATGTTCCATTTATTGACCTCAGTAAGGGTCATATTGCAAGCAAACGTTCCATTTATTGACCTCAGTAAGGGTCATGTTGTACTCAAACAATCCGTTTATTGACCTCAGTAAGGGTCATATTGTACTCAAATGTTCCATTTATTGACCTCAGTAAGGGTCACATTGTACTCAGATGTTCTATCTAATAAATTTATTTTGAATGATTAAATGTTTTAGATATCAGAACAGGAGGTATTCCCTTTGATGGAAAGAAAAAAGAAATTTCTGTCATTCAATATCATGATTTCTTCACATCTAAATAATTATATATATGAAAAACAAGAACATTTAATTATTTTGAAATTCTTAAAAGCATACTTAAACTACTCTTGTACCTTCAGATTTTTTAGTTCTGTATATAATTGAGGATACAGACATTATGAGTCGTGTGATTTACATTGTAGCCCCCACCTAGTCGCCGAGCAGACTCCAAAGACAGGCCAGGAAGTGTTAGGAGTAGTTCACAACACGATAAAACTGACAAGTCCAAACAAAAACAGTCTGCCAAAACTAAGAAGGTCAGTCCAAGGAATATATCGGTAAACATGCTCTTGTTGAAGACCTTTAGACAGAGGATATATAACTGTGTTTTGATTTTGTATTCTAATATTTCTTTCTGTCATCAACTCGTAGAATACAAAGGGCAAGCTAAAAATTATTTCCCTTCGTCATTGAGACCAGAAGTATTTGTGGTATCTTCTACAAACAAATGACTGGAGAGTTAGTAGCAAACCAGAAGGAAAGATATATAAACAAGACATATTTTCATGTTTATTTTCAAGTCATATATGCAATCTGAACCAGTACATGGTATTGATTTCTTTCGATTTATGGGATGCACTGATTTAGATGTTTTTAATGTATCTGTGCAATGCACTGATTCGTATTGTTAGATTTCTGTTTTGATTTTAATCTACAAGATGTGCTGATTTAAATGGTTTTGATTTTTGACTAAACCTGTAGGATGTACTGAAAAGCACTCAGGGCTAAAGATACTCTCTTGAGTTTTCTGGCCCATTGGCCTCTTTTTGTTTTTGATAATTTGAATTTATTCTGAAGTATGTTTTGGTTTTGATGATTTTGATTTTGTTCTGTAGGATATTTTGGTTTTGATGGTTTTGATTTTGTTCTGTAGGATGTTTTGGTTTTGATGGTTTTGATTTTGTTCTGTAGGATGTTTTGGTTTTGATTTTGTTCTGTAGGATGTTTTGGTTTTGATGGTTTTGATTTCGGTCTGTAGGATATTCTGGTATTGATGATTTTGATTTTATTCTGAAGGATGTTTTGATTTTGATTGTTTTTGGTTTTGTTCAGTAAGATGTTTTGGTTTTGACAGTTTTGTGGGGTTTTTTTGTAGGATGTTTTGGTTCTGATGATTTTGTCTTTTTGGATTTGATGATTTTTGTTTTGTTCAGTAAGATGTTTTGGTTTTGATGATTTTGTCTTTTTTCTGTAGGATATTTTGATTTTTGATAAATTTGGTTTTGTTGGATAAGATGTTTTGGTTTTGATTGTTTTGTCTTTATTCTGTAGGATTTTTTGGTTTTGATGATTTTGTCTTTATTCTGTAGGATATTTTGGTTTTGGTGATTTTGTCTTTTTTCTGTGGGATGTTAATATTTTGATGGTTTTGATTTTGTTGGGTAAGATGTTTTGGTTTTGATGATTTTGTCTTTTTTTCTGTTGGATTATTTTGGTTTTGATGATTTTGTCTTTATTCTGTAGAATGTTTTGGTTTTGATGATTTTGTCTTTTTTTGTGTAGGATGCTGGTAAAGGAGGAAAAGAGGCCCCGAAGGAGGAGGACAAACACGACAAAACAAAAGGAAAGAAGGATGATAAAGCAGCAGCTAAAAAAGGTAGGCGGATCTAAGAATTTACTTTATGTGGTAGGTGGATCTAACAATTTATGATGTGTTCAACAATTGTCAGCACATTGTCTGCAGTGACATGTTTTCATCCTGTGTGAGATTCCCTTTATTGTCTTAAATTTTATTTTGTAATTTTTTTCCCTATTTAACTAACCTGATCTTCCCTCTTTTTTTTTTTTTAATCTTTCAAAAAGAAATATCCATAGAAATTTTGGAAGTTTAATTGCATTAAATTAAAAAAAATTGGTTAATAGGAAAAACAACAAGAAATTACTTTTCTACTGTAAATCACTTTTTATTTGCAAAAACTTTATTTTCATGTAATGCGAGACAAGATGTTCACGGAATTTAATTCATGCATATATTTTTATTAGATTTTATTATATATAACAAAAACCTGAATTTATGAAAATTTTGTCTTATTTATAAATACCAAATACCTTTCTTGCGAAAATAAAGTGTCACAAAAATTTAGTATAAACAGTTCAGGCACCATTTTATTTTAACATGGCTAATGAGGCCTTATGCTGTATATTTGGCTTCAATAAATATAAAACTATAAGATCCATAAAGAAAAATTACAGTGCATTCAATAACCCAATTTTTTGGTTTTTGTTTTTTCCCCTGCTGTTGTTTAAGATGACATTAAGGCAGATCTTGAATGACACTTAGGATTTTGTATTAGCTACACTAGTAGAGACACCTTTGGCTTTGATTTTTGAGTGAAATTAATTAGTTATTTTAAGTACAACTGACTTATTTGAATATTCAACTAAACAGTTTTTTTAAATTCTGACCTACAATGTTGTAGAAAAATCAGAGTCCACATTACAGGGAATTCATTAGACATGTTACCCAATTCAGATGTAATATTTAATAGGGCTGGGACGATACAACTTTTTCTATATCGATACGTATCCCGATATTTGAGCCACGATACGATATGTTTAATTGGTTATAAATTCTTTTTTTATATTGAAATGAACAAAACATTTCTTCACAAATAAGAATAATTTATTCAAAGAAGTTGCATATCTGTTGTAAAACTTAATTATTTTGCACAAGTGGTCTTAATTATTATGTATTTCATATTTATATTTATATTAAGCATATTTATTTTATATATTAAACCCAAAATGTTAAGTAAACAAAGAAAAACACAAGTCAGAATTTTTTGGGCGATATGTCGATATTTCTTCATACGTATCGATATGCGTATCATCCTCACATTGAATCGATATTATCGATATCTCGATATATCGTCCCAGCCCTAATATTTAAAAAAAAAATTCATTGATTAAAGATAGTTCATTGATATTTTGATAATACTGATTACATATTACATTTAATACTGATAACATATTGCACCAACAGATACCAAGAGCGGAAAAGGTTATATAATATGCATTACATTATAATTATAATATATATCTATGTATCCGCCATTTTCTTTTATTTCTTTTTTGGGGCTTTAGGGTATATCATACAGTCTTATATATATATACTTGTAGTGTATGATTAATTACTTTTGAGTCATTGCCTTTTTTTAATTACGCTAGATTTGTAATATGATTTTCTAGATTGTCGTACAGGAGCTTCTGAAGAAGAATAACAAATTTTGCTTTATTTATCTGTAGCAAAAATTTAGGAATTGTAATTCTGTTAAAGACTAAAAGCTTCTAGCTTTTAACAATTTAACATCTTAAGCATATCTTAATTTTAAATAGAAAATGGCTTACAAAGACAGCAGGACAACAGAGCTACAGATATATTGTACATACATGTACATGTACATATCCTAAAAAAGCAAATTTTCTTTTGTATTTTCTCAGAACTGAACTCAGGTTAACTATCCTATATTTTTGGATCACATAGGTATAAATCTGCAGTTACAAGATTCTGTTAGCAGACAGAAATGAATATCATGTAAAGATTAATATTTTTGTGTTCTCCACAAACAGGAATTGAAAAAAAAGGGGGGGGGGGTTAGGACATGTTTAAATATTAAATTATTACATGCAGATGTATCAGAAGAAAAAATTACATTAATTCTCATTACTCTGTTCTGGTGAACTAGCCATGTTTAAAGTTTGCAAACTAATTTCAGTTTTTCTTTTTCAATTTTCTTAATCAGAGGGTGGAACAAGCAGTAGGAAAGGTATTAATAGACCTTGAGTCCTTGACCTTGAGTCTTTGACCTCAATTGGCCAAATTTGCTGTTGAACTCAGCCTTTTTTCAGGCAGTGTTTTAAGTCTAGCTATGTGTTCTGTTCTCTCATTATGTAGGTGAGCTGTACGATTCTTATCATGCCTATGTTGTGATTTTGGCTACAGTTTATCTGTTGACCATTTGTAATGTTTTCTTTCATTTTTCATGTGACAGTTTAATTCTGATTTCCTCTTTTGCAACTCTTTCTTAACAGGTCTAGGTGACTCTTATACCAAAACCTGATCTAGAGTACAGTTAAGCACTCTATGAAAACATTGCATTATATTATTGGTGTTAATCATGAATTCTAGACATTTATGGGTGAGATGTATTTATTTAGTAACTTATCCTTTTATCAAATGTACTTGATTTCTAGCTAATGAGGAAGAATCAAGAAGAACCCAACACCGGGGTTCTATATCCAAAGGTATCAGACCTCAGTTTATACCACCACCCCACAAATATACCATAGCCTCCCAGATACCCAGCAATGGGGTTCTATAATAAGATTAGGCCTGTACTGTGCCTCCCCCAGAAGCATGGCATCACATCCAAGGAGTCAGAATTTTATAAACCATAGATAGCCTTGCTTTGCTTTAAGTAAATTCTTAGTCTAAGCAAAATTTATATTTAATACTATCAGATGTACTAGTTCAAAGATCACAGCAATAGTAGTGACTTGGTCTAATACATGTAACACTCTTTTATGCTGGATAAATGCATTTCCAGTTCAAAGGTATGTGACAAAAATATTCTAATTTGTTCACTCATTAAGAAATAGTGTACATGTATATGAAAAAGTCCCATTCATTTTTTTTTTATGTCCCCTAAATTTGAGTGCACCTACCCAGCATTGAAGAGTGAAACTGACATGTGTTTGACTTGTTTGTCAGGGATATAACTGTGATCATTGGAAGCATCCTATCTTAAAGTTTGTAATTTCTGGAGGAATGATTTCTGCACTTACCAGTAACAATAAACCAATTTCTTCAGTTTGGTTAAAGTATTTGTAGGAATTAAGTGTTTGAAAAAATTGTCACTTGTGGGTGTCTATACATGTACACGAAACAAAAAACAGCAATGGATTAAAGAAGAACTTGTCCAAGTTGAATATTTACTGTTAAGCTCCTTTCCACTTTTTCTGCGTACATTGTACACGTTTCTTGGAGCGTAAAGTTTACACATTTCTAATAATATTAATTTGACATATTTCTGTGATGTAGAAATTACCCTTTTATCTGTAGGCTGAGGTTTTCTTAGAGTTTTACCAATTCCTTTTTAGGAGGAATTCACTCTTTTGTTTGTATGTAAATGATATAACCCTACCTTTTTCTTTTTAGGAAAACTGTACATTTCTTGTTTTGTAAAGTTTACCAATTTAAACATTTCTTGTTATGTAAAGAATTCTCCCTTCTTCTTAGGTAAATTCTGCCCTTTTCCTTAAAGGAATAGTTTACAAACTTCTTCCTAGATGAAGGTTAAAGTTTACATGATGAAAACTGCTGTGGTCTCTGGGAGCTGCATGACTCCTCCACTCTTTACCAATCACTGCTTTCTTATCACTGTTATCACTCTGGCAGAGATGTGTTAGTGACTACTAAGAAGACTCTGAAAATATGTACTGTATAAAGACCATTCTGAGTTATTTCTGTAGAGGTTTTGTGCTGTCAACACTGGCCTTAAAATATTTTGATGGGGGATGCAAATTTTTTTTTAATTCGTAGGAGTGAATTTATTTTCCACTTAATTGAGCCGAAAGTAGTCTCCCTTTACATCGGATTACAATACAACGATTTAACTTTTGCTTGTGCTTTTAATTTATATTTGGCTGCTTTATTATATATATAAATATATACTGGATAATACCATTAGTTTATAGCATATTATATACGGAATAGGTATTAATAAAATATGTTTAGTTTCTTTTGTTAAGTATATATGTCATTGCATGTAAACATACTTTAACATTGATTAAACATTAACAATAAATGCTTTAATGGAAATGAATCTATTTTTTAAATGTAAAATTTATGCATTCAACAATTCCTCACTAAAAAAAAACAAAAAACAAAACTTTTTTACGAATGATATATAATATACATTAAATTAAATGAATACCATAACCTTATATAAAGCTTGATCTTAATATAACAAATGTACTAGAAGTAACTGTTATAAAATGTAAACAGGAAATTGTCATGGATTCATTGCCTCATTACTTCTTCATTTCATAAACAGTGTTCGTAATCAAAACTTAACAATAATTCTCACCATTTCACTCACACAATTTTGCTATAATGTTCATAGATTCTCAGAATTAACAGTGGATTTTATTATTTTTTTTTCACTGTACTGTGATGTGACTGGAAAGTGTTAGTGTAGCTTTTAATTTTCAAATTTTAGAAGTTCTGATCATGGAGATATTTATTTTTTGTAACCCAGTAAGATTGTAAATTATTGTTTACTTTTCACAACAGCTATAATTTATATTCTAAAAAATGTACCTAATTTAATACAGTATTTGAAAACAATTCCCTCTCAGAGGTATTTTAAATTTTAAATCTCATTATTTGGGATAGGTAATATTTTTTGTATTTATTTGAAATTATCATGAAAATTTGAATGAAATTTGCCAAGCAGGACTACAAATAAAATGAACACATAATGAACATCTAATACCTAAAAAAGGTTTTTTTTTAACTTTGCATGACTAGAATTCACGATCATTTTGTTCAGACTCCCTACTGACATTTCATTCATAAAATGATACATATGCATTTTAATTGTTTAATAATCTAAATATCTACCTCATTCTCATTTGTATGGAAAAACCTCATTGCATTGTTCTATTATCCAGCCTTGTGTGATATTTTGTTTTTGCTAACTTTCACATGTGTGTTTTTGCTACTCCTTTTCCACATGTTTGGCTAATTAGATTTGCATATTTATTACATTTTTTGCACAGACAAAGGCGGAAACACCACAGGTCGCAGTTCTGGAGGTAAGTCATTTAAAAGGGGATCCACAATTTTATTGGTTAATTAACAGAAGCCCCTGGCAGCTGGGCATTTTCATGCATTACCATAGAGGGTCTTTTCACCATCTAATCAGAGGCTGAGAAAACGGAAATAGGTTTGAATTTTATGAATTTTGACCTTGTAGCAGCTTAAAAACTAATTAAAACTATTTTATTCTTCTTTCTTTTTTGATTTTGTAACTTAACTTTAGGTTTATATTTAAAAAAAAAAAGAGGGAGAGGATTTTTTGTTTGTTGGGTAAAATTTATTTAGTGGAATTTTGTTTTGCCAATGTAGTTTTAAAAACCAATGTGTGCTCTATCCAGAAAGTAACGTTTTGAAAAATTAACAAGACTAAACTACATTATTTCATTTTCTGCAATTCAACTCATGTATCTTTTATCATTTCATTTCATTCATTAATTCATCTTTGAATGTATAAGATATAATTACGTAGCTAGAATAGAATATATACCGTACTATGATGAATCGTAAGACAATGACTATTATATACGTTTCTGAGAAGAGGAACCCAGGAAATGCATGACTAGTTTGTTTAGATAGATACAAAATGTGTTATATTTAATGGAGAAATTGCTTTCAGAAAACTTTCAGTACTTTGATTTTAAAAGTAATGGAACTGAAGTGAATGAAGTATTTATTTTTTCACTTTTTACAACATTAGCGACACGATACGTTGCAAAACGGTTTTTGTCCACAATAAATGGTACACTTGCACTGCTTTATGAATATTCATAGAAAAGATTGAATATTAATATTGAACATTATATTATTAAGCATCTAATAAATATGCATAGGATGAGCATGCATCGCAAGCTTTTAAAATTTATATATTCAAAGGAAAGGAAGTGCAAATAAAAAGTAGGACTATTTATAGAGAAAATATTGCAAACTTGTTTCTTTTATAATCCCAGCGGCAACAATGCGATTGGTCACATCTTTTGCTGGTAACATACAATATGTTTGTCTCCCTTGTCAGAGTATACGCATCAGAAATGGGGAAAAAGGGTTAAGTAATTCACATCTCATTTAAAAAATGCTGGGAGAAATTATCCAATAAGAACTTAAGAAGAAAGATAAAAGGAAAAATGTTATCCTTTTATTTCGAAAACTTCAGCACAATTTCCATTTCTGATGTCTTGACCCCCACCCCCTCCTTTAGAGCTCCTTTTGGTGATGATTTAACATTCCATAATCTTAATTTTTTTGTTATTGAGACAGAAAAAAAGCAAAATATATTTTCATGTATTTGGTTTTTGGTTCATTTTTCTTTTGGCGATGATTTTTTTTTTACCTGTTCTCCCTATAACACGTTTTCCTCCCTGATTTTTTGAAAACTGTTATAATGGTTAAAGGTGATATAGATGGTGTCTTTCATTAATAACATATATCTGATTCGTGTGTCCAACACAGTACAATATTTGTCCATTGTGTCAGATAAGTGTACTTAAAGACCTAAATTAAAAATGTTAAAAGTTGTGATTAACATATTACCCTTCTTACCTTGATTAATAACCCCAAACACTCGTGGTTTATGCAGGCACTTAAGCAAGCATGATGCTATATATGCACACTGTTTGCTTTTCTTATAATTTAAACAGCTTGATAAGCTTATTGGGAGCCAGTAAAGAATTCAGTAGTTTGGAAAAGAAATAAGCTAGTATTTTTTAAAGAGAAAATTGGGAATGAAATACTCTTCTTTTGAGAAGATACTGAATTGATGTTAAACAATATTTGAAAATTTTATCCTTGAAAAATTAAATGACGAAATAAGAATTTACTTGAATTTTACTCAAAATCCCGCATGTTAAGCTTAAATTGAAAAATTGATTTGCTTCCAAGTGGCTAAAGTGAGTGTGAATTGTTCTGTCATTGTGTGCATTGTTAAATGTTATGATTACAATTAACAGGTAACCTTTAGAATGCATGGTTATTGTAGTAAACGAGAAAAAAAAATTAGGAAAAGAAAGATAATACTTATTAAGCATCTTGATCAATGTTTGAAATGCTTCTAAGCTAATTATTTCGAAGAAAAGTGTTAGGCAAAGACAACACAAATGTTCCTTGATTTTTTTTTTTTTTATATAAATATCTGCAATGTGTAAAAAACAGAATTATTTATAAAATATTTCTTTGATAAGCCCATCTCAATAATGATGCAGTGTAAAAATCACCAATTTATTCACTGAGAAATAGATTAAATTTAGATGACAATGTATAGCAATGTTTCTAAAACTTGGGTACGTATAACAGTAATTAGAGACAAGTTCATCTCTCTATGACGTCCCTGTATTTTACTTATAGCGTCCTTAGTGGCTGACACAAAGAATGCAGCCAAAGGAAAAACAAAGGGGAAAGACAAAGGAAAACCGTCCCAAGCCGAACCAGAGGTGGGTCAATAAACTTCAGATCTAAAACCCACAGGGATTTAGAGTTGACATTAAATAACTTTTTGATTTTGTTACTATAAATACTGTATACAGGGAAATTTTTGCCTCTTTTGCCCTAGACAAAAGTGTGCAAATTTTAGACGGGGCAAATTTAAAAAAAACAGTATAATATCTTAAACAGAACCGTGACTGGGTGAATTTAAAACGGGGCAAAATTGTCTGCTTGAGTGAAAAGGCGAAAATAACATGGGGCAAAAATAACCCTGTATTCAGTAGCAGTTTGTTACAAGTGATGATAGATTAAGTATACCAGTATTTGAAACCTTGTCTGTGATGTCTGGTTATAGGACATGGGAGATTCTTCCTTTATAAATCCTCTAACAGACGAGGCTGATTTCATTGATGGTCAGCTTTGGGTGCCAGGCAACCGAGCACTTATAAACCTTAATCTGTCACGTAAGTCAAATAATCCACTAAATTGCCTTAATTTGTTAAAATTTTAATTACATGTAATGATGTGAAGCATTTAGGTCTTCAAAATTCAAAATGTATGATTATAAATTGCACTCCAGTAATTCTAAATTGCGTGTGTGCGTGAAAAAAATGATGATATGTGTGCAGGTAACCAGATTGGTGAGCATGGTATGGCAGCCATTTTGAAGGCTATGCAGTATCAGACGACACTGGCAATGGGAAGTAAATCTGGAGGGACAGGGCTGATGAGGATCTGTGTATTTGTAAGTAATATTACATCTTACAGTAATATTACATCTTACAGTTAACGACAATCCATTTTTGAATTCAATGTAATTATTAAATAAAACTAACCTGCAATGGACTGGTATTCCATGCAGGGGAAGTTAGCAACAATTATCCACAGAAACTGGGTTTTAGCTTTGTCCCAGTGATCCTCATGGCTCATAGAAGGGTTTAATAAAGTAGAATATTTAGTTTAATTTTCAACCATTGTTTTGGTAGCTTAAACATGAAAGCATTTCTTTTACAACTTAATATTCTTTCAGCATTTCATATTCTTTAAATAATTAGATCGATAATATTTTGATACTGTCTTCTTTCAGAAAAACAAGATTTCCTCAGACCATGACATTGTCAGAAAGATAAACGAGATCATGCTTCCCAAAGATCCATTCTACAAACCTCCTCCTCAGACACCGGAAGTGGAGTCTACTTCCTGAATATAATGGCTGTTCATAATGATTTACATCAGTTATATAACTTGATTATTTTGGCAAGACTGTGGTGTAAATGGGTGTAGAAATAGTCTCTATACCAGTGAGGACTAAGGATTCTTTTGTTTTGTCAAAGAATTGTATGTGAATGGAGACATCAAACCTTTTACCACATGGCTGTGTTGAACTTGAATGCATTAAATGCTTTATATTTAAATGAACTTCGTCCAAATGTGCACCGTCCATGAATGAAGTCTGTGATAATTCTATGTTTATTGTCTACATGTTGAAGTTTTGTAAACTATATTTATCTGATAATTTATTTTGTTATGTCTTTGAATATTTTAGTAAACAATAATGTAACATGGTTTCTGCTTTGTTTTGGATTTTTGATATTCTTTATTAGCTTGCCCGCACTTGGAGCAGAACAGTTATTCAATCATTGTAGCAATGGTGCTTTCTTTTCTGCTATCCCTTATGGAGTAAATGATAGCAGTTATTTTAGGGGATGTTGACTCAAGTAACTAAGGGTGAAAGAGAAAAATACTGTTTAAGTAGTAAATACAATTCATAAATGCATAGGAAAAGAGAAAGCCAAAACGATATGTATTCTTAATAACATCTAAAAATAGATTGAATTTTAATTATGTATAGTAATAAGACTGCTTATAAATACTGTGGTATAAAGATTAAGGGCACTAAACCTAAGATTGGTTGCATGGTTACAGAATGGACACTCTTCTACTAAAAAGATGAAAAGTATTGTTTTGTAAGTTATAGTGTAAGAAAAAGTGTACACAGTCAGTACCAGGTATTTACACATTGGCCTGATTTGATCAAAATTACTAGCATGTCTTGTTTTTCTAAGAATATTGTTTTAAGAAGAGATAGCTAAGGGCTATTGATTTTATAAGAAACATTGCTAATTCTTGACAATACATGATATACTCCAATTTTATTGGACAGGGTCTTTACAGTTACAAATATCTCCCCCTTATCCACGAAAATTTTAACACTGAGTCTAATGTGTATATATGCATACTGAATTTCAATGTAGTAAAATATACACACTAAATGTCCATCTACAATGTAAAAAAATAACCATTTTTTGGTCAAAAGTGGAATACCCATTACATTTGTAGGGGAATACTAGAAAATATTGGAAAGATTGAACACAGAATTATTCTTGAAATAAAATTTATACAATTTAAAAATCTGTTTATTGAGCAAAATGAATAATGAGATACTGTGATGATTCTTGATAAGATGTCTTAATTAACGAGGTTAGCATCTTTGGCCATGGAGTAGAACACGCCTGATTTATCTTCCAGTAGAGTCTGAGGAGCTCCGAACTCAACTATCAGTCCTTGGTCCATCACCATTATTCTGTTTAAATATAACATAAAATTCCAACGTAAGACTGACATTAAAATATCATACAAAAATATCACAGATCTGATATAATGATCATTGTCCTCTAGAATGCTAATAAGCAGCATAAGCTGCTAGAGTTTTTCTATATTAAGTAGATGCTGAAAATATAAACTACAAAACACATAATATTGTCGGCAGGAACCATGGTCGTCATAGAGAAGTGAGTAGAAGGTACATAATAAAACTCACCTATCATAATCCATAACAGTGTTGTCTGTGAGCTATAGATATCGCGTATAACAGTCACTCACCTATCATAATCCATGACAGTGTTGAGTCTATGAGCTATAGATAGTACAGTACAATCACTGAACTCTGATTTAATCGTGTTCTGGATGAGTTCGTCCGTCTCTACGTCTACAGCTGCCGTGGCTTCGTCCAGAATCAGGATCTTGGTCTTGTGAAGTAGAGTTCTAGCTAGACACACAAGCTGTCGCTGACCAACGCTACACAAGGGAGGGATAAAATAAAATATCCATGGAAAGGATTACAGAGATATCAATAGAATCTTATGAAGTAGAGTTCTAGCTAGACACACTAGCTGACGCTGACCAACGCTACACAAGAGATAAAAAATATCCATGGATTTTATTTCAGAGATATCATATATGGAATTTTGTGAACTTGGGATAGATAAAAAAAACTCTTAAGATACTTATTAAATTTTATCTTAAAGAATCCTATTTGTTTTTACAATTTTTACAAATGATAAAATTGCAAAGTACCATAACCTAAAAGCAACATTGATTAAATTGAATATCGCCAACAATTCATTCCCTATCGGTTGTTATTGGCATGTCTCTTAACATTATAAAATCGCTAAAATTACTTCTCGCTAAAAAAATATACCAAATTTTTTTTTTTGGAATAAATCGCTGAATTTGCGTCTCGCTAAAATTTCCACTTATACGGTATACACGGCATATTGAACATACGTTACACAGTGTTACTTATGATGAATCATTTTTATAGACTGAAGTGAAATAGTCATACACTTGGATTCTTCACCAACGAAACGAAAGAAAATGAAATTAAAAACATTTTTAAGATACATTTTCCTGTAGAAAAGAAACTTTGTAATAGACGGAACATAATCCATTGAATAAAACTGTTATTTTCACAGTGAAAAACTAGTGACCATGCAGAACTTTTTAGTTAGTATGGCCAAAAGGAAGACAAAATATGAATAAACAATATTTTCTATTTGGATATGGAAATCATTTCTTTCAAGGACAAGACGTTTTTGATTTTTTCATTCGTGCCTTTAACTCGTGAAATTATCAAAATATCCTGTCATATTCTTGAAAATGAATTTCATTTCCAACTAGAAAACTTAAACTCTTTAAAATCGACTTTTTAACAATGCTTTGTTCCGTTCTATTCACATTCTCAAATACTGGAATTCTTTATTGTCATAAACAGTTCACGTGAGGTTCTCACCTGTACTTTTCACATGAACTTTACACCTGAATTCTCACCTGAAGTTTTGACCCCCTTCCCCGCATTCGTAATTTAGCTGCCCTATACAACTGGTGACAAAGTCTTTCATATGAGCTCTCTCTATCGCCACCCATAGATCCTGATCCGAAAATCTTTGGAGCGGATCCAAGTTAGCGCGGATTGATCCAGAAAATATGACAGGATCCTGAAAAAAAAATACGGCCGGATTAAAAATAAGTCAATAATTACTCAGTACCTTAGCCCAAAGTAAAAGGCAAAATATAGAAATGTCAATAATTATGCAGTACCTTAGAATAAAGTAAAAGGCGCTAAATAGAAATACATAAAAATATTCAATTCTTTAGACAATAGTAAAAGGTGTTACATAAAGATTAGAATAATTAAATACTCATTGCTTAAGACTGAGGTAAGAGAAGCTACATGTATATGGATTTTTGTTTTGGTTTCTGTGTTGTTTGTTTTTTTGGGTGGGGTGGGGGTTGCTTTATTATTATTTATTGTGTTTTGGTCTTAAATAATATATACATATTTATAAAGAAACACAGAAAAGGAAAAAAAATATACTAACTATACACCGTATTTAACGAGGTCGAGTCTAATTATTTCTACCCTAGATATTTTGATTAAATTTCTTAAATGAATTTTTACTATTATACTTGTTATTTTAAGATAAAAAAAATCGAATGTTTACCATCTCTTAGAGGGCCATCTCAAAAGTTGTCAAATTTTACTATTGGACCCTATGGGAATTTGTTGGGAAAGCGCCAAATTATCACATTTTCCCATATTTTTTGTATTTCTGCCCTAAGGATTTCCTTTTCAGTCAAATACATGAGAGTTATTGTAAAAAGGCACAAAATTTGGAAATTTCAAAAAAGTTGACCATCTGGTTTGTCTAGGAATTATCACAAAGTTTATTTTTTTTCCAATGCCAAATACCTATAAATTTGCCACATTACGGCATACATTTTGTATGTATCGGCGCAGATGAATTATTTTGGTAAAAAATAACCATGTTTAGATTGCTGGTATGTTTCTTTTGACGTTCTGTCAACAGTTTTTAATAAAATGTCCATGGACGTCTTGAATACTCAAGCGAGTTATGCGTCGTTCTTCAACGTCATGCATTGCTTACAGAACCAGAAAACAGTGACGTCGTGAAAGCCATTTCAGCGTTTATTCCTAATTATTGTCTTAAAAGCACATTTTAAGACCCATAAACATTACAGCTAATATAATATAATGTTAATTTTGTATTAAAATTACAATACTTAGGATAGGTGTTATGTTGCACCAATGACTTCATGAAACTAAAAAGCGGCGCAAAGATATGCGCACTCGAATTAGACTCGGCCTCGTTAAATCCAGTCCATTTGTGTTAATTTTTATCTTTCATTTATTATTTATTATTGAATTGTAACATTGTTTATTTAATTATTCTGAATTCAAACTTGCAGACAGTCTGTCATGACTGTCTTCACCTAAACGATTTCCAAACAAACACCAAAATTATCCTGAATTTATTTTAAATAAAATGTTAAATAAAACAAAATTCTAAATGAAATTTTTAAATTAAAAAAACATCACTTACTTGAGGTAGTATAGTTATTTGAGATCTGAGATCATGAAGGCCCAAAGAAGATATAGGAACGTCATCAATACTTATATCTCCTCCTGCCGGTTCAATGATGCGGAACATCGCCAGCGTCACGGATGATTTCCCCGCTCCTGTTCTTCCTACAATACCTATCTAGAAAACGAAAAACACACATAACATAAAATATTCCTTAAAAATCTAAAAACTATTAAAATCATGCTTTCTCTATTTCACATATTTTTAATTAATATCTCGCACAATGACGACTTCTTGGCAACCAAGGTCTCTCTCGATGCATTTTTGAAAATATCTTTTCAAATGTTTTTCAAATTTTTGAAAATCTGATTTAATTTGACATAGAAATTATCTTTATTTATTTATTTATTTTTTTATTTTTTGTCTAAAAAGACTTCGTCTATAGAAGAAATATGAAGATCTTGGCAAACCTTTTCGCCCCCTTTAATGACACAGTCTAGTCCTCTCAACACGAGGTCTAAACCAGCCCGGTATCGGGTGGTATAAGATTTAAATTCCACCTCCCCAGTGTCTGGCCAAGTGGAAGAAGGACGGTTCTTTGGTTCGATCCATTCAGCCTGCAGATATTATAACAATGCAAATGTCTAAGAATATAAAAATATATGTTCAGAATGGATTAATCTTTTTTTAAGATGATATGATTAATACAGACCTGGATAGGACACCCAACTACAAACCAAAACTAAGTAACTGACCTGATTATAATAATACACCTATGCTTTTATTAAAAGAAATCTATCATTTGTACTTTCAATAATTTTTACATAGTTCCTCATAGTTTTATATTTAATTGCTGGTGAAAGATACTTTGATATGATTTACCTCTGGTTGGAGTCTGGTGATTAATACCTTGATATAATTTACCACTGGTTGGAGTCTGGTGATTAATACTTTGATATTTAATTTACCTCTGGTTGTAGTCTGGTGATTAATACTTTGATATAATTTACCTCTGGTTGGAGTCTGGTGATTAATACCTTGATATAATTTACCTCTGGTTGGAGTCTGGTGATTAATACTTTGATATAATTTACCTCTGGTTGTAGTCTGGTGATAAATACTTTGATATAATTTACCTCTGGTTGTAGTCTGGTGAACTCCTCTACCCGTTCTGCTGACACGATATTCATCTCCATCTCACTCACAGACTGGACTACTAAATTCAGGGATATTACAACCTGTATTCAGATAAAAGGATATTACAACCTCAGATTAAGATATATTACAACCTGTATTCAGATAAAACGATATCAAAACCTCAGATTAAGGGATATAACAACCTGTATTTAGATTCAGTGATATTATAACTTATATGCAGATCAATGGTTACATGTACTAGACACTGTGCTCAGATTCAGGGATATAACAACCTCCAATCATAGTCGTGGATATTAGTATTTAGATCTGTATTCAGCTTCAAGGTCTTGACGATATGGAATCAAATTCTGGGATTGAACACAGGTTGTTATATCACATGTAGTATTCACATTCAGTGGTATTATAAACTGTATTCAGAATAAGGAATTTTATAAAGTGTATTTAGATGAAAGGATATTACAAATGCACTTAGATTCTTTGATATAACGATATGTACTCAAGCTAAGGGATATTACAGCGTTTTTTTTTGGATTAAGGATATAAAACACTGTTTAAAGATTTAGGGAAATAGTTATCTGTATTCATAGTCACATATATTTATATTTCAATCAGATTCAAGAATATTACAACCTGTGCTAAGATTAAACAATATTACAACTTGTACTCAGTCTCAGGGATATTACAACCAGTATTTATAGTCAAGGATATTAAAATTTCAACCTGTATGCAAATTCAGTGATTTTAAATCCTGTATTCAGATACAGTAATTTTACAATCTTTCTTCAGATTTAGTGATGTTACAACCTGTATTCAAATTCAGGGATTTTTATACCAATATTCAGATTCAGGGTTATAACAATCCAGTATTAAGATTCAGGGATATTATGACCTGTTTTTAACCTCAGGAATAATACGACCTGTATTCCATTTTAGGGATATTAGGACCTATATCAGATTTAGGGATATTTCGACCCGTATTCAGATCCAGGGATATTACGAACTATATCAGATTTAGGGATATTACGAACTATATCAGATTTAGGGATATTTCGACCCGTATTCAGATCCAGGGACGTGACGACAACATGTATTCACATTCACGAACATTATGACCTGTATTCAGATTCAGGAATATTACGACTTATATTCAGATTCAGGGTTATAAAAATTCAGTACATGTATACTTGTATTCAGATTCAGGAATATTATGACCTGTTATATTCAGGGATATTACAACCTATTTTTAGATTCAAAGATTTTACAACATGTATTTACATTTAGAGATTTAGAGATATTACGACGTAAACTTAGACTAGTATTATAATTCACTAACATTACAACCAGAATTCAGATAAATGGATATTACAACCTGTATACCGATTCGGGATATTTTGTAATTAGATTGATGGATATTATAACTTGTATCTACACATATACACCATGTTTTAAAGTTATACTTGATTTTATATTAAAACAAGGGAGAATGCCTGTAATGAGTATGTGAGGGAGAGTCCTATCCCTGCCCCTGATAGAGTATCAGATAGGACAGAGTTATATACCTGTAATGAGTATGTGAGGGAGAGTCCTATCCCTGCCCCTGACAGAGTATCAGATAGGACAGAGTTATATACCTGTAATGAGTATGTGAGGGAGAGTCCTATCCCTGCCCCTGATAGAGTATCAGATAGGACAGAGTTATATACCTGTAATGAGTATGTGAGGGAGAGTCCTACCCCTGCCCCTGAAAGAGTATCAGATAGGACAGAGTTATATACCTGTAATGAGTATGTTAGGGAGAGTCCTATCCCTGCCCCTGATAGAGTATCAGATAGGACAGAGTTATATACCTGTAATGAGTATGTTAGGGAGAGTCCTATCCCTGCCCCTGATAGAGTATCAGATAGAACAGAAAACACGGCCGCTGCTAGCACCAAAAGATTCGCCAAGAATTCTAGACGAATAGCAATCCACCTGTATAAAATAAATGTGCCTTTTTACTTGTAAGTAATAATCTAACTAAATTAGTCAAGTGTTTATTGACAATTAAATATCGTTTCATAGCAAATATTCAAAAAAGAAACATAAGTTTTAAATTTAGACAGTTAATTTTGTAAGGTCACTATACACTGTATTAATTGTAATTTAAATTTTTTTTTTTCGAAACTAAACCTTCAGATTTTATGACTTGTTATAATTGTTTAGTTTTAATTTTTTCAAAGATGCCCACAGTGTCTGAGAATTCTTGATTTAGGATTCCTGATAAAGTATCTTGAAGCCTTTATCTGTTAAGAAAGGATGCATTATAAACCAACTACATATTATTAGCGTCATCTTTTATTCGCGAATCGTCAGTTTGAAATCAATCCGCGACAATTAATTTTCGCGACTGAGGAAACATTCTCTACAAATACAAAGCAAAATATATGTTTCGTGGCGATTAGTATTTACAAGTTAATGTAGGAAACGAAACTCGCGAATATTTCTCGCACGCGAATAAAAGTTGGTTTACAGTACTATAGAAACGTGTGCTTGTACCATGAGGCTGTGTTTGCTGCATGATAGAAGGTTGAGTTTGTGTCTACTCGCACTTGGGACTCGGTAATAAATCTATCGACGGCTCGGTAAGCTCGGATACAGCTAGCACCTGTGATAGATTCACTAAAGTGGTTATACACGGGGGACCGAGTCACTCCCTCGATCCTCTTCAGCTGCCTAGCGGTAGGGAGGTAGAACCTCTGCAATCAACAGAGAAGATTTAAAAATTAACAAATTTTTAAGTTATTCAAAACGTTTACAACAAGGAGAAACTTTTTAAGTTCTTTATGCATAAAAAAGAAATGTCCTTAGAAGGCTGGATATTCATTTGAATATAAAATGAAAATTTTGTAATAGGGTCATGAACTCATTATCATTAAGAAAAGATTAATCACATGACTAATTTTCATCAAATTGAAATGGAACATGAGATAGATTGAAAGTTATTGAAGGATTAGTAAACTTTATGAAACCACTTTTATATTCTATAAAGTTATGTCCCTTTGTGAACATAATTGATACTTCTTGCACTACATATCCTTTGTAACCTGGGATTTTAATTAGTCAATTTTTGTACTATAATTGCAAAGTATAGGGGAACTCAAAAATCATACTAGTAATGACAAATATGTCAGACATTGCTTTTTAAAGTTGGTAATGATATAGAGTAAAATGGTAACTCTGGTTGAAACACTAATGATTTTGCGAAGGGGAATAATTTTGTAAATGTAAAAGACACCTTAAGTCTTACCAAAATTAAAATATAAAGAATGCCAACGGGTATAATAACTATAAGGAAATTAGGTGTGTTCACTGAAATCACAACCAAAATGGCTAACAAGGTGGACAGCATCACAGCCCACAACCGGAAAGTCCGAGGAAGGCGATCATCTAAGATGTCAATATCACTAGAAAAACGGTTCATGATCCGACCCACAGGTGTCGTGTCGAAAAATGACATTGGTGAACGTAAAATACAAAATAACATGGAAGAATGCAGGGATCCAGATGCGGTAATTAATCTGGTTAGTCCAAGGTAGGCAAACAAAAACAAGAAAATCCCTGGAATAGAAAAATCGATTAAACATCTTTTTTACTATTATTTAAAGGTAAGCAACTTGAAATATTGTCAATGTTTTTAAATTTTATTTTTCTGTATTAAAAAAAATCAGAAAAGCTAAAATATTAAAAGATCATTCTTGTCTACTGACCCTGGAGAACCCCTAAGACTGTATAGATTGCGAGGTAGTAGTATTTCCGGTCGGAATATTCCTGCGTCGTAACTAGTGTTTGGTTCTTTATAATTTCATCCTCTGTCCAGAATGTCAGCCAGAAATTGCCATAGGCATTAAGTCCTTGAAAAAGCATAACAAACAGCATAGATAGGACTGTACCGATCACACCCATAGCCTTTATGTAGGTGAGGATTACGGAGAATTTTACCTGGAAGAAACATAACTTCTGTCAAGTATCTATAAGAGTTGTCGAACTTTTTTAAAAAGGAGAATAGGTAGGATAATTAAGTCATTCATTTTTTTCATATTAAGAAAAGTAAATCCTTTCTTGAATTTTTTGAATACATACTGTTCCCTCCTCTGACTTTTCATCTTGGATCAGTTTTCCCTCTCCGTGTTCGGACTCTCTGCCACTGTCGTACGGTAGGATCCGCCCCTGAGATAATGATCTCTGTAGTTTCTCAAGCGTATTCATTTTGTCCTGTCTGGATAAACGTCTTTTTGAGTTCGATCTCGAAAAGCGTCGCTGTGATTCGGTTTTGCTCAATGAATGGAAACTTGTTTCTGCTATGGCATTTAATTGTGAAAGTCTTCGTTTGATGTCCGTTGGAATTGAAAATCGAGAATTCCTTCGCAAAGATGCTTTTCTGAAACAAATTATTATATTCATGACATCCACATATCTTTCTCAGTTATATTTTCAAAGCTTGTTCTTGTGATTACACAAGTACACACAGATTAATACGCTGTTTGTCATGTAGCAAATTTAAACTAGTGCTACGAAAGTTCTACAGTTTGCCTACTCAGTAAAAAATACAGAGTAATATAGACCTTTTTTATATACTGTTGATTCCAATATCTTTAAAAAAAACATCAATCAAAGAAACGATTAATTAGAATACAATGTCCAATACACAGATACCGGGCGCTTTGTCGTCTGGAGAGATCAGAATCGTCCGCCGACAAACCATAGTCCGAAACACATTCCAACTGTTCCCACATCTCATCTTTTATCTTTGCAACTAAAAGAAAACACTCACGTTCTTATTTAAAAAAAAAGAATGGATGAACTCATTGGCTGAGGTTTCTAGACGATACCTTATCAAACGTGAGCGAGTAGGTCAAAAGAAAAATGGATGAGTTAAAAATCAACATTACTTTCTTTTTCTAGATACCAGGATGAATTTAAATGAGAAATTACATATAATCCTCTCCAGAAACATGAAAGTAAGTTACTGCATAATATTTCCTTTTGATATATCAAAAATGCCATTAGTCTAGTAAATAATGAAAAGAGCCAATATTCATTTTTTTTTAACAATTCAATAGTAAAAATACTGTAATTAATTCACTGAATACATTTTCGCAGTGTGATAATACTTTCGCACTAAAAACTTTTTATTATATCAGAGTAGTGTGAGTATTCCTTCCCTTCACGAAAAATGTAAAAAACAAAAAAATAAATAAATAAATAAAAATAAAAAAAAATCCCTCAAGATCATGTAGATGGTAAGAGTGAAATGATCATAACTCAATGTTTACAACCTATGACATCACTGCGTTATATAAGACAGATAATAGGGACCAAAGGGGCAAAGGTGAAAATCCAGAGAAAACCTAATGATTAAAAAAGTCAATGTTTTGTAGATTATGAAGATAAAAATAGCAGTTCAATGCAATTCGCACAGATAAGGAAATGTGTCCATTCAATAAAAAAAATATGGAAAAGAAATTGAGTTTTTTTATACATTAGAAAAAAAGTAATATAGATGGCAAGAATAAAATATCATATGTCAATCCAAGAAGCAAAATCATACTTTTTCGTAAAATGCCATAGAGAAGACAAATGTATGTTTCAAAATTCAGAGTTATTTAATGTGTAGAAACTCAAACATGATAAGCAGTAATACCTATCTCATCGTCACCTGAAAGAGACACGCTAGTGTTTTAATAAAACTAAAATTAGGTTTACTTGTTTAATACAATAAACTGAGGAAACTTTTACTTTTGAAATGTATAACTGACGTGGATTATTGAAATTTACTTTTTTCCCGATTTTCTTTAAGGACAAAAATCTTAATTTTGTATTATTTCTTAAAGCCTGTAGATTCGTGAGCAAGGGTTATCCCCGAAAATATATGCCAAAGAGGAAAATTAACTATTTTTTTTACAGTATCATCATACCCACTCTAAATTTTTCATTTTTTTTTTTACTTAAACAAATAATGTCGCTAAAAGTGTCAATGCCTTTTAATGCTAACCCGTACTGATAATGTTTCATTTAGTCTTCCCACCCTCTGCTCCTACTACCAATTGCAAAGTATAACATAAATAAAGTTATGTACTGGTATAATAGAAAATGATATCAGTTCCATCTGGAGTCCTTATTGTCAATTATAAAATGATCCTCCTTTACATAAATGGAACCCACCCTTTAAACGCCTCCGTCCTTTTTAAAATGAATATATCTTTGTGCAATAAAATAGTTTACATTTAGTGTAAATCATATATACACTCTTACTTTAGAATCTCATTGAGTGGTCCGTGAATCATGCATTTGATTTAAATAAAATCAACATTGATGTGTTCTCGTACCGACTTAACACTCTTACTTTTTCTGCAGCCAGTAGATCCTGGCAAGGACAGTTCGAACTATATATAGAATGCATCTAGCTCTGCAATATGATTCCAGTTATTCTGAGATTCAAATTTCCCACCTCTCTCTCTTATCTTACCAGTTTTGATACGAACTTACTTTCCGAATCTGTGTCATCTTCCCCATGAAGAAGATAAGTTTCAAGGAACTCTGAGAAAGCCCCTCTCTTTTGCATCAACTCTTCATATGTTCCTATTTCTGAGATGGTCCCTTCATCCATCACTACAATCAGGTCGACTTTTGGTAGCCAGTGTACCCCATGCGTGACAAGAATACGAGTCTGTTATACAAAGGTAAATCGTCAAGTTAATCCATCACAGTATGTGTTATTTTGTATACATTCAGCTATAAATATTGTGTACACAAATAATTCAGAAAATAAACTGCTTCAAATTTGTAATAAATTAGAATTATATGTTTATTTTCGGATTCAATCTTTCTGTGCAAACTACATGTACATTCTTATCCTGAACTGGTATTTAACTTTATGTTTTTGCATTATTTAAATCTTTTTCATAAATACTGCTACATACTGCTATGTACTCATCGCAGTTTCATATATTCTTTGAACATACTCGATCAAGAAATATTGTGACCAAAAATTACATTCACATACAATTTATGTAAGGTGACAAGCCCAATTTCAATTGAGATTTGTCTCCACCGACTTTTTAAAATTACAGTACCAACCATCTACTCAATAGAGATGTGTATAAGCAGGCAAGCATGTACCAGAGAATCCAATGAAATGTGAAAGATCTTTTTTAAAAAAGACACCTTATGACGCAGTAATCCCTCTTGACCAATGACTTCTTTGAAGAGAGATTTTCCAACATGGCTGTCCACAGCAGATAAAGGGTCGTCCAAAAGATAGATATCGGAGTTACTGTAGACTGCTCGAGCCAAGCTTATCCTTTGCTTTTGGCCACCACTGACGTTGATACCCTTAGCATGTGAAGAAAAGGGCATGATATGATTTACATTCGAGTAATAACTTGGTAATTTATATCTTTCAGGAAGGAAAATTTTCCAGTTGGTAATTATATGCAATCATTTATATGCACTTTAGTTGTACCCTTTCTCCAATCTCCGTGTTATCTCCAGCACTGAGTATAGCCAGATCCGGTAACAGTGCGCATGCTTGAATGATTCGTTTGTATTTCTTTTCTGAGAATTTACTGCCAAACAAAATGTTTTCTTTCACTGTTAGATTTTGAATCCATGCTTCTTGTGGAACGTAGGCGACCGACCCCTTAAAGTGTAGAGGAAAGTTTACGTTATTAAACTTAAAATCCTAAAACTCCACTCGAAATATCTTAATCTGAAGCAAACTTCTCCAAACTCAATTCATTTTACTATCCTGCATGAATGTTAATAGTATTGATTATCACTTTATTTCATTACAAACAAGAGGCCCATGGGCCACATCGCTCACCTGAGCACATTGGCTAGGCAAAAGCACAAATCAGTTCAGTATTGAAAAGATTACCGGTGGTGGGGGGGGGGGGGGTGGCTTGAATTTTAAACTACCTGATGATGCTTCCATGTCAATACAACAAATGGCTTTGTTGTACTTGAGAAGATTTTTTAAAAAAAATTCCCATATATTCCTTTGTAAAAATTTGATCCCCCATCGCGGTTCCTCCCTATCCCAGGGGTAATCATTTGAACTTGAATCTACACTACCTGAGGATGCTTCCATATCAATATGACTAAACATAGCTTTCCTGTTCTTGAGAAGAAATATTTTTCCTATATGTTCTTATGTAAAACTTTCGATCCCCCAATGGGCCCCACCCAACCCCTGGGGGTCATCATTTGAACAAAATTTTATCTACACTACCTGAGGATGCTTCCATATCAAAATGACTAATCATAGTTTGCAGTTCTTCAGAAGAAGATATTTTCCTATATATTTCTATTTAAGACTTTGATCTTCCATTGTGGCCCCATCCTACCCACGGGGGTCATGATTTGAACAAAATAGAATCTACACTACCTGAGGATGCTTCCACATAAATATGATCAATCAGGGCTTTGCTGTTCCTGAGAAGAAGATTTTTAAAATTTTTCCTATACATTTCTATGTAAAACTTTGATCCTCCATTGTGGCCCCATCCTACACCCGGGGGTCATGATCTGAATAAATTTGAATCTACCCTACCTGAGGATGCTTCCATATAAATATGAACAATCTGGGCTTTGCTGTTCCTGAGAAGAAGATTTTTCCTATATATTTCTATGTAAAACTTTGATTCTCCATTGTGGCCCCGTCCTACCCCCGGGGGTCATGGTTTGAACAAACTTGAATCTACACTACCTGAGGATGATTCCATATAAATATGACTCATCATGGCTTTGCTGTGCTTGAAAAGAAGATTTTTAAAGATTTTTCCTATATATTTCTATGTAAAACTTTGATCCTCCATTGTGGCCACGCCCTACCCCCGGGGGTCATGGTTTGAACAAATTTGAATCTACACTGCCTGAGGATGCTTCCATATAAATATGACTCATCATGACTTTGTTGTTCTTGAGAAGGAGATTTTTAAAGATTTTTCCTATATATTTCTATGTAAAACTTTGATCCTCCATTGTGGCCCCACCCTACCCCCGGGGGTCATGGTTTGAACAAACTTGAATCTACGCTACCCGAGGATGCTTCCATATAAATATGACTCATCATTGCTTTGCTGTTCTTGAGAAGAAGATTTTCAAAGGTTTTTCCTATATATTTCTATGTAAAACTTTGATCCTCCATTGTGGCCCCGCCCTACCCCCGGGGGTCATGATTTGAACAAAATTGAATGTACACTACCTGAAGATGCTTCCACATGAGTTTCATCTTTCCTGGCCCTATGGTTCTTGAGAAGAAGATTTTTAAATGATGCATTTATTTTTTCACTAATTCTTAATTATCTCCCCTTGAAAGAGGGCGTGGCCCTTCATTTGTACAAACTTGAATCCCCTTCACCCAAGGATACTTTGTGGCAAGTTTGGTTGAAATTGGGTCAGTGGTTCTTGAGAAGAAGATGAAAATGTGAAAAGTTTACAACAACAACAACAACAACGACGACAGACAACGGACAAATTTTGATCAGAAAAGCTCACTTGAGCCTTTAGCTCAGGTGAGCTAAAAAGCAGATAAGTATTACATTGTAATTGTGTATTTCACCTTAATTCTATATTTTACAAATATTTAACGAAACATGTTGATAGCACATATAACTTGCAATACATATGTTTTAGACATACTAAAGTAATTAAATGAAACTTGATATGTTTCTCTTTCTTATCAAATAATAATCAATCAAATTAATTAACCAAACAAGTAATATTATTAGAACAAACCTGTACATTAACGTGACCTTTAACCTTCTCCATCTCTCCCAGCATGGCGGCTACAAGTGAAGATTTCCCTGCTCCAACCTGTCCTACAACGGCCACAAGTTTTCCCTCTCCGATCTTGAGGTTAATTCTGTTTGAACATAAAAAAAGAATTAAATACATGTACAGGCATAGAATACAATTCCCCCAATCCCCTTTTAAAAATAAAATTCATTCTTTCTTCAGTAACAAATACAATGATATATGTCGTACCTGTTTAAGGTAGTCCTTGGGTTTTTTCGGTCCCAGGTAAAATATCCATTGTCTATAGCTATAGCATATCCTACAAAGGATTAATGTTATCATTTACATAACACCCCATTTCCACTCAGATTCAGCATTAATAAGATGTAGAATTTTATTTTTTTTCTTTCACAAAAGGAATTCCATACATAGAAGAAAAATAATAAGAGCATTGTTTGAAATCTTTATTTATCTTTACGAATTTTACCTCAGAAATGTATTATAACTTATCATTTTTCTACGATTGCTAGTAAATACCTGTGTTTAAAGAGGTTGACACATTCTTTAGGTTGAGGTCCTCCTTGCAGAGGAATTTTTCAATTCTTTTAATAGACACCAGCATCTGTACAGTACATTTAACACAACTTACAATGCAAAACAAACAAACAAACAAAAAAAAAAAAAAAAAAAAAAAATAACAACTAGATGAGATCTCGTTGCGAGCAACGAGTAGGTCTTCCGTTAGATTTGGGAAATTTTGATTACAAGAAAGTAGAACAACTTCAAATGAAAAAAAATATTCATATTAATTCTTCAAAATATGCTTAGCAACACATGAAAGAGTAAAATCTATCAATTTCAAACAACTTCCGGTCTTTTATATTCACTTCCGGTATGACCGGAAGTACTCAAAATGACTTTTAACTCCTAACTGAGTGTGGAGGAGTCATCCCTTAAAGTTTCGAAGAAAAAATGAGCATTTTCTCGTCTACTTCCGGTTTGGAAGAAATAACTTCCGGTGGAAATAGTATGACTTGAAGCAGTCTATTTGCCTCTATTATCTCTATTGTGAACATTTAAAAAAGAAAAAAAAATAAAAATTTGCATTTTTTAAAACTACTTCCGGTGGACAATGGACGTCACGGCAACATACACTAATCAAGAAATTCAAATCTACTAGTCACAATCTATCATCCCTGAAAGTTTCAAGACTCAATCACAAAGCGTTTTTGAGAACACTTTCGGACAAAATGCAACTTTTAAAAAAAGAAAATTGGCCGTATCTCGCGACCGGAAGTGACGACGGCAAAATAAAAAAAACGCCCTAAGTTCAGATGATTTGCCATCATTGCTGAAATTTCATGAAAATCTGTTGAGGCGTTCTCGAGAAATCGCCTGCACAAAATCGGTAAGAAAAAAAATAATAATAATAACTAGATGAGATCTCGTTGCGAGCAACGAGTAGGTCTTCCGTCCGATTTTTCGATGAGATGAGATGTGATTTTAATTAAGTTTTCGTTAAAAGATAATGATATAAAGATTTCCCTACTTAGATTTCATTCTTTTGATTTATATAATATAATCTTGAACATCTTTCGTTCAATAATGCTTTTCAAAATGTTTCCCCTTTTCGAGATATGAAGCGTAAAAGATTTAACATTCTGACCACCCATGGCTCCTAATTACGCAATAGAGAATCAAAGTTTTACAACCTATTGTTGCATATTGAAGAGTTACATATTAGTCTTTTGGCCCCTCTGAGCCCCTAATTTGAAGGGTTAGCCCCTTTTATTTGATATTAAATAAAAAGGCTTGTGATTTTAAACATTTTTTGCTCAGCAACTATTCAGAAGTTCCTTCTCATTTTCGAGATATGTAGAATAGAAATATTTAGGGGCCAACCCTTCAAGTTCTTAATGGGTCCGTTTTGCAAATATTAAAAGGATATATATTGTTCAGAACAATATTCTGAACATCTTTTGTTCAATATTGTTTATCAAAATATATCCCCTTGTTGAGATATATAGCGTCAAAGATTTAGCATTCTGGCCCCTTTTGGCCCCTTATTACGTAATATATGATCTTAATTTAATAATATATAGTGGCAAATCGTTAAGAGGAGCATTCTTGCTTCAGTAATTGATAATAAAGTATTGATAGTGAACAAGTTATAGATGAAAGACTTTTAGCCCCTCTGACTCCCTAATTTGAGGGGTCAGCCCCTTTTTCTTGATATCAAATGAAAGGTCTTGTAATTTTGAAGACTTTCTGTTCAATACCTATTCAGAGATTTCTTTTCGTTGTGGAGATATGCTGAATGGAAATATTTAGGGGCCACCCCTTCAGGTCCTTAATGGGGCCGTTTGACAAAAATTGAAAGAGCGCATATTGTTTAGAACATTATTCTGACCATCTTTTGTTCACTATTGCTTATCAAAATATTCCCCCTTTTTGAGATATAGAGTGTCAAAGATTTAGCATTCTGGCCCCTTTTGGCCCCTTATTACATAACATACAATCAGAATCTTATCACATATTGTTGTAAAGCGTTAAGATAAACATTTTTGCTTCAGTAATGTATTACAAATCATTGATCGTTAAAGAGTTATAGATTAAAGACTTTTGGCCCCTCTCAGCCCCTAATTTGAGGGGTCAGCCCCTTTTTCTTGATATCAAATGAAAGGTCTTGTAATTTTGAAGACTTTTTGTTCAATACCTATTCAGAGATTTCTTTTCGTTGTAGAGATATGCTGAATGGAAATATTTAGGGGCCACCCCTTCAGGTCCTTAATGGGGCCGTTTGACAAAAATTGAAAGAGCGCATATTGTTTAGAACATTATTCTGACCATCTTTTGTTCACTATTGCTTATCAAAATATTCCCCCTTTTTGAGATATAGAGTGTCAAAGATTTAGCATTCTGGCCCCCTTTGGCCCCTTATTACATAACATACAATCAGAATCTTTTCATATATTGTTGTAAAGCGTTAAGATAAACATTTTTGCTTCAGTAATGTATTACAAATCATTGATCGTTAAAGAGTTATAGATTAAAGACTTTTGGTCCCTCTCAGCCCCTAATTTGAGGGGTCAGCCCCTTTTTCTTGATATCAAATGAAAGATCTTGTAATTTTGAAGACTTTTTGTTCAATACCTATTCAGAGATTTCTTTTCGTTGTAGAGATATGCTGAATGGAAATATTTAGGGGCCACCCCTTCAGGTCCTTAATGGGGCCGTTTGACAAAAATTGAAAGAGCGCATATTGTTTAGAACATTATTCTGACCATCTTTTGTTCACTATTGCTTATCAAAATATTCCCCCTTTTTGAGATATAGAGCGTCAAAGATTTAGCATTCTGGCCCCCTTTGGCCCCTTATTACATAACATACAATCAGAATCTTTTCATATATTGTTGTAAAGCGTTAAGATAAACATTTTTGCTTCAGTAATGTATTACAAATCATTGATCGTTAAAGAGTTATAGATTAAAGACTTTTGGCCCCTCTCAGCCCCTAATTTGAGGGGTCAGCCCCTTTTTCTTGTTATCAAATGAAAGGTCTTGTAATTTTGAAGACTTTTTGTTCAATACCTATTCAGAGATTTCTTTTCGTTGTAGAGATATGCTGAATGGAAATATTTAGGGGCCACCCCTCCAAGTCCTTAATGGGGCCGTTTGACAAAAATTTAAAGGGTGTATATTGTTTAGAACATTATTCTGAACATCTTTTGTTCAGCATTGCTTATCAAAATATTCCCCATTTTTGAGATATAAAGCGTCAAAGATTTGGTATTCTGGCCCCTTTTGGCCCCTTATTATGCAATAGAGGATCAAAATTTTATAAAACATATTTCAAAACCGTTAAGAAAAACATTTTTGTTTCTGTAACTTATAACAAAATATTGATCGTTCAAGAGTTATACTTGAAAGACTTTTGGCCCCTCTGAGCCCCTAATTTGAGGGGTCAGCCCCTTTTCCTTGATATCAAATGAAAGGTCTTATTATTTTGCATGTCTTTTCTTATACATGTTTTATCAAAATATTTGCAGGTAAAAAGATATAAAGGAAAAAGTGACAAATTTTGCGAGATCCTTGTGAGCCTATTTTTCGAGCCCAGGCGAGCTTCGACGCCTTTTAAGTTGGAAAAATACAGATGCCAAATGGCACATCTATAATCTTTCCTCTATCTTCACTGAAAATCTTAACTCAATATCTTAAGTAGGTGGAGTTTCCAGGACAAGTCGACCCTCTGAAAATCAGAAAATCCTTAATATCTCAAGATAGGAAGTGACGTCATCAATAAAAAATTTCCAATAAGGTTCAGATCAATACCTATCAGATCTAAAAGTTTCATGAAAATCGGCCAAGTCGTTTACGAGAACTCCCGTGCACAAAATCGGTAAGAATAATAATAAGAACTAGAGCAAAGCTCGTTGCAAAGCAACGAGTAGGTCTTCCGTCCGATTCTCAGTATCCCTGCTTGTAAGATGGGTAAAGGAAGATAAACCATGCGTTAAAAAGAAGGCCTTTAAACCAAAAATGATGTTGATCAGTATTTAGTATATCATTCAGATTGAAATCTAGGCTGATTTTCGCAAAATAAAGCAATTTAAGACTACTTCCGGTTTGACCTGAAGTGACGCCAATCGACCAAAAAAATTAGGTCGGAAGTGTTGGGTGAGGTAAATCATTTGATTTTATGTAATATCTGCAAAAATAAGTCATTTCTGGCTACTTCCGGTTCAACCGGAAGTGGACGAAAGTGACGTTCCTTGATCGGAAATACAGTCAGACGTCCTCTGTGACATGTATAATTCAAATTCATGCCAATATCTGTGAAAATAAACAATTTTTGATTACTTCCTGTTTGGCCGGAAGTGACGTCATTGGACGTCTTTTGACGGTCTCACTAGCCTACTTGTCATTTTGAACAACTTTGCTTCTTTGATGTATTACGAATTCTTAATACTTTTTGAGATATTAAGAGAAAACTTTCGGCCCCTCTAGACCCCTTATTTTAGATACCAGCCCCTTTTCAATGATATCGTTGGAAAGATCTTGTAATTCTGCACTACTTTTGTTCTATATGTTTTAACAAAATCTTTACAGGTAAATAGATATTGTTGAAAAAGTGTTAGAAATTTGGAAATTCTGGATAAGCTATTTTTCGGACCATAGCGAGCGTCGGCGTGCAGTACTCCCGGTGAAAATGAAATGCGTTTGTCACATCTACATATATTGCCCTATCGTCGCTGAGAATCTCAAGTTTCTATCTTAAGCCATTTTTTAGAAAACTCGCGGACAAACTAACACTCTAAAATTCACGAAAATACGGAAATCTCCGAACTGGAAGTGACGTCATCAAAACGAAAAAAGATATATCTAGATTTTTTGATGTTCTATCAGACCTGAAAGTTACATGAAAATCGAGCAAGCCGTTTCCGAGAACTCGCGTGCACAAAATCGGTAAGAAAAAGAATAATAAAAACTGTGGAAAAGAAACCTAAGAATAACAAGAAGGTCTTCCGCTGAAGACGGAAGACCTTAAAAATAATAATAATAGAGAAAAAGAAACAGAACGAAAACAATAAGGTCTTCCGTTGGAAACGAAAGACCTTAATAACAGCACACACACACACACACACACAAAAAAACAAAAGCAAACCAAACCAAAACAAAAACAAAAAACAAAAAATGAAAACTTCGCCACGGAATATTTCCTAAATACGTATAATGGTGTACAAGTAAATTTATGCTAGAACTATCAAAATACCCATGATGATTTCATAATAAGTGTCTCTGCAAAGTCATTATTCAAAGCTTTTTACTTTGCTGTAATGGTCTCTTACTTCATCTGGTTAGGAGCAGCATAAGATTTCAGAGTAGTGTGAGTATTACGTTATCATTTGTGTTTAAAATAAAATAAATTCATAAATGGATTTTTCTTTTGAAATAGTACCCCCAAAACCAGAAGTAATTTTTCATAATTTTCATCGAATGACAGAATTATGATTTGAAATCTATAACAGTTATGATCACATGTTACAACAAAATACCGTTAATGTTAACTAGATGCCTAAAAATTAATTTCATAGCTCATACCGTTACTGTTAACCTAATCCTTAGAAATTACATGTAATCCTATAGCTCGTACCGTACCTGTATGATTCCCGTGATAACAAATGGAACCATTGTTATGGTGAAGCGTAGTGTGTTGATGATGGAGAGAGATACAAACACCTTACTGGCATTCAGGTAATTTCCTGACGTCATCAAAGTAAAGATCAGCAACACAAAATAGCTCATCTGAAAAAGATAACAGTCATTGGTATACATAATGTAAGCCAACGCTTTTTCAAGTAAACAACATTACTTTTGCAAAAGCTTTCTCATCTAAAACATCAAGTTATAAAATAGTTAAGTACTTAATTTTCATAATCATTATTAACTGTATAATGTATTTCATTACGTTTATTACTTTACGTTAAAATAATTTTTCTTTATTCAAATGAAAGATATCTTAAGCACAGAATGACAGTTTCAAATATAGGTTCAAATATACCAGTTTTTAAAAAAAAAAAAAAAAAAACAGTTCGCCTTTCTATGCTCATGCTTACAAACTCCGGGAAGGATAAATTTCATATCAATTATTTCACTTCATTTCAACTCCGCTTGGGAACATGGTACAAGTTTAATTTAATATATAATTTCTTGAGTGGGCATATTTTCAAAAAATACTAATGCTAAAAGAACTACAAATCCTGTCCTTCTAATATAAGCTTAATTATAATTCGTTTTTAGTTTTCGTATTGGCTAAAATTGTCATGGTGTTTAAAAAGATACATATAAAACACTTTCTTTTTTTTGATTACATACCATGAATGGACTGTGCACAGAGAAGAGAGTAGAGAAAGCTGTGACGACACAGACCTTCTTCAGGAACACCATCTCACGGGACCTAATGTTCAATAGTTTCTTTGTAAACGATGGCTCCCACGTGTACATCTTTAAAACCTAGACAGAGATTTTACTTTCATATATCAGCAAGATTCAGTCATATGCATTTATAAAGTAAAATTGGTGCCGTGATCAGGATATAAAAGAATAATATCAGGTAAGTCTAATTTTCCCTTTTCATTACATATGTGACAGAAATTCATCAAAAGTATTTTTCATTTTTACCTGAACTTAATGTTTGTAAATCATAAATTTGTTCCTCGCTTTTCAAGCTACACAGAAAGATTATCTCTCTGCTATTTCTCTTTCTGTCTATACTTTTGTCTGTTCGTTTATTCCACATTATTTCATTTAGAATGTATGACCTGTTACAGATATTTAAAAAATTGTATGCATTTTGCCCGCTTAAAAAATCTTTTATATAAGAACTTTGGTCATTTCCAACGTATAGGACCACATCACTAAGGTATTGCTTTCAGTGTAAAGTCCTGGTCACAAGGCATGAAATATCATTAATTGCTAGTTCTGTTTTTTTTTAGGTTGCACATCAATCGAAATATAAAAGTCCTTTTCTATAAAATTGCAAAATGCATTAAAAGTATGAAACATTTCTACATGTTCAAGCTTAATCATCGCACTTACTTTTATTCCGCTTAAGACCTCGTTTAACAATTTAATCCGACTAGACTTAAGCGCCAAAATGATTCCTTGATATTTCTGTTGAAGTTTTCCAAAGAATATGTTAAGCGCCGAGATGATTATGATCACTGCAAAACTCCCCAGAGTGGCTGCGCCCATTTGATTCCAAATAAGGTATAAACCTAGGGCCAGTGTGAAGAAGAAGGAGATGATCTCGTACTGGAACATAAAGGCGTCTTGTATACGCTGACAGTCCACTGACATCAGGTTAACAATGTCACCAATTGTGTACTGACTTTTGGCAGCGTTACTCATAGTTAAAGACTGAAAATATTTTCAAAGCAAATTCAGACTGAATCCTAATTAGATAAACAAATACATTCAATTGAAAAATTTAAAAATAAAAATGATAACCGTTGGTACTTGTGCACTTAAATTAAGCAAGCAACCATTTTTAAAAAAAAAAAAATTAATGTCAATTTTGAAAGAGACACTGGTGATCATGGTGTGCTTTTGTGTGAAACATTCATATATATATATATATATATATATATATATATATATATATATATATATATATATATATATATATATATGTATATATATATATATATATATATATAGATATATATATATATATATATATATATATATATATATATATATACCTATCACTTCATGATATGTATTGTCAAAAACTGAATCCCAACCTTCAGAATTTCACTTTTTAAGAACTTTTAAATTTATTTTTTATTTTGTCATATACCTTTTTATATATCATTCCTACTAGTGCTACTTTCACTTTCAGTCCTAGTGTCATCATACAAAATGCGCTCTGCGTGAAGAACAACGACTCTACTGCTCCACTTATAAAGAACAAGATGGCTAATCCCCAACCATTCCACAGTGGCCAATCCTGTGTGTGTTTGTTCTCCAGGAAATCTATCATTAGTCTGCAAAAGAAGCTGATTTAAGGTATACTGACCCTCTGATAAGAGAGATAACTCTCAGTGGGGGGATATATGACTACTACATGTATTTCTTTATAAAATTGTCAAGTTAAAATGCAACATCTGTCGAAATTTGCCCCGCAGGGTACGCTGAAATTATGTGCATTTTAATCATGAATTAAAATAATTTTGGAAAATCGAAAGTATTGAAACAAAAATTTTGTATGAATGACCAAAAGGATAATGAACTTAAATGGGTATTTCCAGATGTAAAGTATTCATCAATAACTAGATATAACAATTATTTTACTAAATTATTTATTCTATATTATATTGAGTCTTAGACTTCAAATACGACAAGGTTTATAGGAGCTGTATTTACATGTAAAGACTCAATTCGTTGACTTCTTGGAACAACTGAACTCTCATTCTAATGGCGTTTCAAAACCAAGAAAAGGATTAGAAAGCATAAACAAAAGTCAACAGAAGGTAATGAATTTATTACATCTTCCAAATCTTTTTCTTTTTATTTTAAAGAGTATTCAAATTTTCTCCCTTTGGAAAACACAAAACACATGGTTGACAAGTCCATCTGCCATATTTTCACATCGTATGAACTTTATCTAAAACATAATCTTCTTAAGAAAAAATAGGTACTCATGCCATCAATTGTTTTGAAAACTAATCGTATCACGAGAAAATTCCACAACCGCTGCATACTGTTTTAATAAGAATTTTTCCCTCTTCCTTTTGGAAAAAAAGAAAATTTGATTACTTTTTCATATTTCATGTGAAATATCTTAATATAAAAACATACATTATTAAAATCTTAATAGAATTTATCCATCAAATGAGGAAATAAAGCAATGTGCAGCATTCGACTTATTTTCATGTACCCTTCCTCAAAAGGTACATCAATATTTATGCATAATTTTACCATGGGAGAGTTTGTAATCGGCGTATTTCGGAGTTTGACCTGCTCACATGTCGTTAGGTCACTCATAAAACCCATAGAGAAAACATAATTAAGTGAAAATTAAGACTATGTTTATCTTGCTTTTTATTTGAACATCCTTAAAATGGTGCAGGTTTGTTTAACATTCAAATACAGGACGAAAGTGTTCTTTCAATTTTTTTAAATTTATTTTTTTTTTTTATTTTTCAAAATTATATCAAAAGTAATACTCATTTGAAAAGCCTAAACCATTGTAGTGCCTACCCTAAGATGCATCACCAATACATAAATGCAATAATTAAGGAAGCACTCACTTGAGAAGCAACGGCTGAATCATAGATAATACGTCACATAAGATTTTATAGAAGGAAGAAAGCAGCCATTGTTTCCAATACGTTTTTGCCACAACTTTAAGCAACGATGGTCGTGATCGGTGGAAATTTTCGGGATCTTCTTCATCGTCATGTACGTCTGCTTTTTGATTGGATATCAAAGGTGTTGATTCATTTTTGGTACGATTTTGGTAGAGATAAGCATGTGAAAATTTCCTCTGTTGAATTCTAGAATTATTAAATGATTCGCATTCAAGAAAGATCATCAAAACAGGACTTATGAACAATTAATTTCCTTCGATGTTCCATAAATCATATGCTATACATCAAAGGCTTCAGGTAACTGTTTTTGTGCTTTCTGTACATGACAGGATCAAGCCAAATTTTGATACTGCTCTGCCAAATCAATGCTATCAGACTTACCTGATGTTTTTTATTGCCTGTCTGTGGACTTCATCCTTCCAGTTTTGTTCTAGTTCCGGGACACACGTCTCTGAACGAAGATAGTTCACTTGCTTCCACAAGTCCTTAACATCCAGAGTTCGTCTGTACGCGGTCAGTACAAGTCTAAACCAATGAAAACATCTCTTTTTATCAACAGAGGTGATCACAAGATCACAAATCTAAACCAATGAAATCATCTCTTTTTATAAATAGCGGTGATTACAATCCAAACCAATGGAATCGTTTCTTTATATCAATAACACTTTTATGGCTGATCTTCATTACTGTTTTTGAAAGGTGTTATTTTAGTCAATATATTATTTTCTTGCTGTAAGTAATTGCTGTGCTTCAAGTCTCTAAAACTGATCTACGACGTAAATGAAAACATACCCGTTAAACCACCAGAAAACCCATCTGTTGAGGACAGATGCTGTCTCCTCAGGAGAATTTTCTTTCTGGGAAAAATAAGAAAAGTATAACATGAATATACACTATTCAAACAGGTAAGATAAAGATCCATAATCTTTATTGAAGACGAGGAGGCAACTTTTTAGAGACTATACTCATGGCTTGAATACTTGTATACAGTAGATTCTTAAATATACTATGTACACAAGGATTTAAGTATTAAATTCTCGCTTAATTTCGCGAGAAGCACCACTCGCTAAATAAATTTACTCGCTTCTTATGGTGCTGAAATACATTTATAAACTCTTGATTAACCGTTGCCAATTCGTGTTGTAACGATTCGACGTCTATTAGTCTTTTCGTGATACTATTAATAATTACTCGCATAAAATAATTAATATTCAGTACTTAAATAAGTAAAATTTGGAGAAAGAAATCATAACAAACCCTCTCCTTCCGTTTTCAAGCGCACCGAAGATTGAAGATAACCATCAGTATAATAATACCGGTAAGTAATGTTTGTGTTGTAAATACCGGTAAGTGATGTTTGTGTTATAAATACCGGTAAGTAATGTTTGTGTTGTAAATACCGGTAAGTGATGTTTGTGTTATAAATACCGGTAAGTGATGTTTGTGTTGTAAATACCGGTAAGTGATGTTTGTGTTATAAATACCGGTAAGTAATGTTTGTGTTATAAATACCGGTAAGTGATGTTTGTGTTATAAGAAAAATGTTATTTTTCTTTTCTTTGTTGTACTCACCAATAATGAAAATCATATCGAGTTTGTTGTCCATGTAATGTTACTGATGCATATATTTTGTTAGATATTCTGACAATATTTTTTTACGATGACGTTTTTATGTTTGTTTGTTTTTTGATGATTTGTTGATGCTTTAAGTTTTTGTTTCTAATTTTTATGATGACCCTGTTTCTGGAGTTTATTTTGTTTTACAATAACAATCATCCTGATGCCGTTTTTTGATACGATGGGAGGAGAACTAGAAGTGTTTACCTGTCCAAGGAAAGTGTAGTGGGGGTGTCCGGGCTTGTCCGCAAAGGAATAAAGAACAAACTGGACACAAATGATTGTAAAGTATACATAGTAGATAATACTGGTGACGCAACTTGGCTGAAAAAGAGATTTATACACATAAAGCAAATTATGAAAAAAAAAATTAATATTCATTCTATGTTACATAATTAATTTTTTTTCCATTATCTAGGAACTACTTTTATCAGTTTATAATTGAATTTACTTATTTCTTTTATTGTATTTTATTTTCTAATGTTATAATACAGGACAATATCATACTGAGTAATTTTGCCCCGCGCCGCGAGAATTGCATCTTTGCAGGGTATTACCGTAAAAGCAGAAATTTTAGCGGGGATTCAATTTTGGCATTTTTAGCGAGGATGTTGAGTTCGCTAAATCAAATATCGGTAACAATTTATTCCCAATTTGAGGTTACTGTTATCTTTCAAGGCAATCGCTAAAATTACTTCTCGCTGAAATTAAATACAGATTTTTAAAAAGAAAAATCGCTAAATTTGCGTTTCGCTAAAAAATAACACTTAATACGGTATATCACATGTACCATGTGTTTACCCTGCATTACTCGGTATGATATTTCTCTGTATTATATGCATTATAATTCTTATGATAATGACATTGCCCTGTTTGCATGATGCCATATCTGATCTTCGTAATATTGCCCTTGTATGATATATATAAGATTAGCAGGTATAATATTGCCCAGCGAGATATTGCCCTGTATTATAACATTTCTTCTATATGATATTGCCCTGTATTATAACATTACTCTATATGATATTGCCCTGTATTATAACATTACTCTGTATGATATTGCCCTGTATTATAACATTACTCTGTATGATATTGCCCAGTATTATAACATTACTCTATATGATATTGCCCTGTGTTATGACATTACTCTATATGATATTGCCCTGTGTTATAACATTACTCTATATGATATTGCCCTGTATTATAACATTACTCTGTATGATATTGCCCTGTATTATAACATTACTCTATATGATATTGTCCTGTATTATGACATTAGTCAGTATAAAATTGCTTTGTATTATAAGATTATTTTGAATGATATTGCTCTGTATTATAAAATTACACTGTATAATAATGCCTTATATCATAACAATTCTCTTTATGATATTACCCTGTATTATAACATTACTCTGTATGATATTGCCCTGTATTATAACATTACTCTAAATGATTTTTCCCTGTATTATAAAATAACACTGTATGATATTGCCCTGTATTATGACATTACTCTGTATGATATTATCCTGTATTATAACATTACTCTGTATGATATTGCCCTGTATTATAACATTACTCTGTATGATATTGCCCTGAATTATAACATTTCTTCTATATGATATTGTCCTGTATTATAATATTACTTTATATGATGTTGCCCTGTATTATAAAATTACTCTATATGATATTGCCCTCTATTATAACATTACTCTGTATGATATTGTCCTGTATTATGACATTACTCTGTATGATATTGCCCTGTATTATGACATTACTCTGTATGATATTGCCCTATTATAACATTACGCTATATGATATTGTCCTGTATTATAACATTACTCTGTATATATTGCCCTGTATTATAACATTAAACTATATGATATCGCCCTGTATTATAACATTACTCTGTATGATATTGCCCTGTATTATTACATTACTCTGTATGATATTGCCCTATTATAACATTACTCTATATGATATTGCCCTGTATGATAACATTACTCTGTATGATATTGCCCAGTATTATAACATTACCATGTTTGATTTTGCCCTGTTTTGTAACATTACCCTGTATTATATTGTCTTGTATTATAACATTACTCTATAATATATTGCCCTGTATTATAACATTACTCTATATGATATCACCCTGTATTATAACATTACTCTATATGATATTGCCCTGTATTATAAAATTACTCTGTATGATATTGTCCTGAATTATAACATTACTCTGTATGATATTGCACTGTATTATAACATTACTCTGTATGATATTGTCCTGTATTAGAACATTGCTCTATATGATATTGTCTTGTATTATAACATTACTCTATAATATATTGCCCTGTATTATAACATTACTGTATATGATATTGCCCTGTATTATAACATTACTCTGTATGATATTGCCCTGTATTATAACATTACTCTATATGATATCGCCCTGTATTATAACATTACTCTGTATGATATTGCCCTATTATAACATTACTCTATATGATATTGTCCTGTATTATAACATTACCTGTATGATATTGTCATGTATTATGACATTACTCTGTATGATATTGCCCTGTATTATAACATTACTCTGTATGATATTGTCCTGAATTATAACATTTTTCTGTATGATATTACCCTGTTTTATAACATAGCTCTATATGATATTGCACTGTATTATAACATTACTCTGTATGATATTGCCCTGTATTATAGCATAGCTCTATATGATATTGCACTGTATTATAAAATTACTCTATATGATATTGCCCTGTATTATAACATTACTCTGTATGATATTGCCCTGTATTATAACATAGCTCTATATGATATTGCACTGTATTATAACATTACTCTATATGATATTGTCCTGTATTATAACATTACTCTGTATGATTTTGCCCTGTATTATAACATTACTCTATATGATATTGTCCTGTATCATAACATTAAACTATATGATATTGTCCTGTATTATAACATTACTTTATACGATATTGCCCTGTATTATAACATTACTCCCTGTATTATGAAATTACACTGTATGATAATGCTCTATATCATAACAATTCTCTTTATGATATTGCCCTGTATTATAACATTACTCTGTATGATATTGCCCTGTATTATAACATTTCTTCTATATAATATTACCCTGTATTATAACATTACTCTATATGATATTGCCCTGTATTATGACATTACCATGTTTGATTTTGCCCTGTTTTGTAACATTACCCTGTATGATATTGTCCTTTATTATAGCATTACCATGTATGATATTGCCCTGTATTATAACATTACTCTATAAGATATTGCCCTGTATTATAACATTAAACTATATGATATTGTTCTGTATCATAACATTACTCTGTGTGATATTGTCCTGTATTATAACATTACTCTGTATGATTTTGCCCTGTTTTATAACACCATTTTAATTGTATGATTTTGCCCTGTTTTGTAACATTACCCTGTATGATATTGCTGACTGCAGTGGAACAGTGCTGCAGCCCAGAAGTAGAATCCAGAATGTAATCAAAATCCCGGAGGAAATCACGTGATTCTTACGTAGTGCCTGGGTGAGTACAGCTAAATAAACCTACAACAATGAACAGATTTAAAGGAACTAAACTTAGTCAAAAATTTTGTTGTTGTATAATCAAAACCTATTGACAAAATCTATCTATAGTAGGACATACGTCATTATATAGGCACTTACGAAAACAAATATCAAAGCGCCGGCGCCTATGTAGAATTCCTCGGGAACCAAGGCGGCAGACTCGCAGTGGTATCCACGTGTAGAAGATAGAACCAGATTTGCGCATGTCAAGGAAGCCAGAACTATACATAAGATCTGTAAGTGTTCGTAATATACAAATAGGATTTTATTTCTTGAGAATAACTTACGTATATGTACGTATAATTCGAAACTATACACAAAGGTTATATAACATGTATACATCGAGGTTAATTTTAAGAAGGGAAAACAAGTTCAATTCACAGTCGAACAATATTTGTATAATCTATGGCGATCGATACAGATATAAGATTTGTAATTTATGGTATTGATAAGCAAGGGTTCTTGTCTTTCAAACTAAGTCAACAACTATCGATGGCTTATTCCTAATATTTCAAGCAAGGAAGAAACTTGAGAGTATGCAAGTCTCCCCTTTGGTACATGAACAAGTTTATTCACAAAATAAAGTTTTAAAAAATTAAATATGCAGTGCAAGTTACATACAGATATGATTTACCCTAATAAAAGGTCTTAATTGCTACTAGATACTAATAAAAAAAAATTTAAAGACTATAATAAAAATTTAGACGAATTTCGTTTGGTAATAGTCATTTAACATCAAGAAAATTGAAATCGCTTATAAATCTTCTAAACCATGATGTGCAAGTTCTTAAACTGTAATTCCAGTAAAATCTTTAAAAAGTTAAACTATAATGAAAAATCTACAAGACAACACTGCATACATGTATTATTAAAATGATAGGTTAAAATTTTTTATCATAAGTTTGTAAGTTTATACAGTGAAAATTACATATATACTAAAAATTCTCGATCAACTCTTTAGTGTATTATTATAATTATTAGATTAATAAATTCATATAATAGCCATGTAAAATTTATGGTATATAAACAAAAGTACTCTAAAGCCCGGTTTACACGCTTTGCCTTAGCAGCTGCTTTTCACTTACTGCAAAGCAGACAGAGAGTTTACACCATCTGCTTACCAGGCCTGCTCTCACTTTTTAACCAAATAATTCCATATCAGATTGGTCAGGTACGTCTGCTTTGCAGACTGAAATAGAGCGAGTTCTAATCTGTCTGCTTGCAGACATGCAGTCCATAGACCCTAGTTTACGCGGTCTTCTTTTGCAGCTTTGCTTCAAAGCAGCTGCAAAAGCAGATCGTATAAACCGGGCTTAATTAAGGTATTTATCGGCGATATTGTAATTATATCAGAATATATGTATCAGGTATATAATATTCATGTTTCACTTCTATCGTACAAGGTAAATGAACGGTCACCATGAAATTGTCCACCTGTCACGAAACTGTCACATAAGTGCAAAGTATCCATAATTACAACTTTTGTTGTTTTTGACGTCAGTGCGATGATATAGCCACCTGAGGAATACAATATTTACCGAGCCGAACAACGAGGTGAATATTGGACTTCGAGAATGGATAAATCATCGTATTGACTGGGAAAGAAAACCACAGCATTTTTTTATTATACGATTATTATAAGATTCAACGGTAAAATTATACAACTCGTTTAATAAATATTGTCATGTATTTCTTTGTTGTAAACATTTGTAAAATTAATTGAAGTCCTAGCCGAAAGCACTTGGAGAGGCGAGATTAAAATAAACATACCCACTTGTAAAAATTTGGAATTTCTTGACTTATTTTTGGTGTAATGTTGAAAAAATATGATTTCCTGAAAGTTGGTTGCAGGTTAAATAGCTTTTCATAACAAATCAATATCGATTTAGAAATTTATACGGTGTAGATCTATTTTTGGTCCACTGAAGAAAAAAGTTACTATTATGTTCTCTCTCTCTATTTTTTTTTTTACCCACACTTTTCATAACACTTCTGATCCCTAGAGGCAGCGGATAACCGACATAATTACTGCACAAGCTAGCGATCTGGAAAGGCGAGCATAGAAGCAGGAACCCACACGGAACCCAGACCAAAACCGTGTTCTGGAAACAATCCGGAAACTTTGGAGCTGACCCGGAAAATATATCATCATTCTACAAAAAGAAGAATTACGGAAGCCGGTTGGTGCCAAGTAGAAAAAATATTTTATCTGGCGGCCGCCAGATAACTTTCTGGCGGCCGCCAGATAAATAACTGGCGGCCGCAAGAAACTTATCTGGCGGCCGCCAAATAATTTTCTGGCGGCCGCCAGATAAAAAGATCTGGCGACCGCAAGAAACTTATCTGGCGGCCGCCATATATGTTATCTGGCGGCCGCCAGATAAAATATTTTTCTGCCTGGCACCTACCGGCTTCCGTAAAGATTTAATTAAATTATTCAATTTATTTTCCTCTTTTAATTAATTCTACTTTAATTCACATCCCTAAATGTGGTTCAACTTGTTATAAATATGAAATTCTCTCTCTCTCTCTCTCTTTGCGCCTGAGACTAATGTGTTAAACTTTTCATCACTGATCCGACACAGAGTTTGCCGCTTTATTTTCTTACCCATAATGTTGTTTCCTGACAGGAATAGTCCACTCTAGTTATATTATCGTCGGTCATCTCTTTTAACATCATTAATCAAAAAGGCAAGAGGTCACCAGAGCATGAAGTTCAGAGGTCACACAAGGGTCACAAATGAACAATTTTAAGATCTTCTTAAGATATGGCCTATGTCGTGTTCAATCCAGGTGAGATCTGTACAATAAACACGGACATGTATATATACTACCTATAAAGTCATAAGAACTCGATTTTTCATACTGCAAACTATTGTTATTCTAATTATTATATATACATGTATATTAATCCTACCTTCCGCAAGGGAAAAAACCAGGTGATATTAGAGTTGTAAAATAGTCAGAACTTTATCCCCAAAACGGTAGCAACATATTCCAAAAATCCGTCGCTCATCAAATTCAAAGAAATGAATTTTTTCATTCCTGCTGAGTTGTTATATAATGAGTAAACATGTCTCTTCAGCATATCGTTACAAGGATCAGTTACACTCGGCACTATAATATGTAACAATCAACCTATAGTGTGACATACATTTTAATCCGTTTACAAACAGTCAATCTTTTATTTAAAGTTTTACACTTTTCTGGGCAAGTCAGGAAACATCAAACATCCCATAAATTGAATTCCTATAGATAAAGAGTCACATACAAACTATACATGTACATCCTTACTGACCAACTGTGTGAAGTTTAAGTTGCCGAAACTCCGTCTTCCATAACCCGGTAGTGAGGGTAGATCATTAATATAGTGACTCCGTATTTATAATTAACCGCATCAGCGAAATATACAGCATACGTTAATGGATTGCACGAGCATGCCTCTCTATCCTTATATTTGCATGTATACAAAGTATACAGGTCTACACTGTCAACATGCGTAGATGACACTGTAAAAAAAATTCACAGGCATGTGCGTTCTATAGAAGTATCGTCTGTTGGATTTTTGTGTCTTAAAAATTTTGACGAAAGAGAAAAAAATTAGAACTGCAATTTTGTGAATTTTCAATAAATATATCTGAGGCATGAACGTGACTGTGTACTATTTTACGGTTGAATTAGATCCGCGCCGCCTTTTGACATTTTTCCATTTGTATTCAAGGACACACTTTCAACAAGATATCGAATGTGTTTACATACTTGATCTTGTAAACATACACAAAGCCCCTGCCCCAATTAAGCTGCCCAGGTTTCTTGTCAGGGTCAGTATCGTCAACAGCTAGGTGATCCATACAGGTAAAAACACAAAACATGGTGTTTCCCCCGTATTGTCAAACTCCGAATTAAAGTAGGAGAATGGGAAATGGAAAAATGGGTGGCGGAACTGATATATTATACAATCACGTACTGCAATATTTTGGCTTATGCAGCAAATGAATAACAGATATATATAATAATAAGCACTATGCATATAACTATTTTGTAATAAATTATAAATTATAATATTACGATTTTTTATATATTTACTGAAATTTCGGTAAAATAATTGATGGGTATGCCAACTCCTGTGGAAAGAGAGATATTTTGCCTAATTTTGACAGTATATATATAATTTGCAAAGGGACTTTGATTTTTTTTTCATAGAGGTGTATCTGCTTGGTTAGGGATTGAAGTGGGGCCTAGGGTGTCCCCCCCCCCCTTTGTGTCCAAAAACATAAATAAGATTTAACAAAGCAATTTTTGGTGTGGCCCTGGGCCCTCACCCCGACCCCCAACTGGTCGTCCCTTTGAAGAATCCTGTATCCGCCACTGGATTGCAGAATATGAAATGACAATATGAATAGAAGAAAAGTTCCCCCCCCCCTCCCTACGGGAAATGATTAGCGCCAATAATACATATAAAATGTCCCTGATCGAGTTATGTTTTAAGAACAGATTCATACCTCTTTCTAAAAGTATGAAAATAGCCACTAAATCTATGCTTATATAAGGAAAGTGAATAAGATTAGCCACATAAATGATTAAAATAATAAATTTGATATTTATAATAATAAAATAAAAATTTGAATTTTTCATTCAAAATTTCTCAAAAATGTCCTATAAAGTGATAAAATATTGGGATGATAGCTAATAGGAAACAAATGACAATATATATAGAAAGTCTACAATTTTTTAATACATCCAATTTGTTGTTGTTTTGTTTTTGCTTTTTTTTTTTTGGGGGGGGGGGGGTGTAGCATGTGTCCTTAATTTGAAATTATTGGGATCGAAATCCAAAGGGGCTAAAGAAACTAGTCAAGTGGATTCCTTATGGCATGACATTTTTAAGATTGAGGTAGATGTCTCTTCTCGGAAATTAGATATTACACTGTAACATACCCCCAGGTCCTGTATTGTTACATGTATATAATCCTTGTACATGTGATGTAGTCACTATATGTAAAGTTATGTAAATATTACGTCATATCCGGCCAGTGAACAGTAAATAGAAGGACATATCCTTTAAAGCAATATCAGCTGCAACTTTGATGTCGGAAATTTTTGTTGCAATATTGTAATTAACTATTTCAATGACAGAAAAAAAGAACGTTTATAAACTTTTATTGTTTATATTTTCGATGGAAAAACTAATTTTAAGCTTTGATTGAAGCAAAATTACATGCATTATTTTCGTCCTGTACAATATTGATTTCTTATATAATACTATACATTCCATTGTACAGAAATCTTTCTTTTGAAACAATTTGATACTTTAATTCAGTCTAATTGATCATAAAGGTTTAAGTTACTTACAGATTTATCATAACTGCACATTTTAACAGCAAAATAAAATTCTCAAAAATGCAGCTCATATTGCTTTAATAGAGGTGTTAATGTCCCTGTAAATTAATGGCATTAACTCCTGTTATTTTGTGGATGATCAGGGGCGGATCCAGATTTCTAGTCGGGGGGGGGGGGGGGGCTTTGAATTTAATAAAACAAACAAAAGAAACTGATCAGTATACATACACGTACATGACATGTGCTTGTAGTTATTGTGATTTTAATAGTAAACTTTTATTCACGACTGTTTTTTTTTTGGGAGGGGGGGGCGCTCTAGATCGATCTACATATGTATATACTAGCTTCCACCTCCCCAAATGATGTCGCCCTACTTGCACTAAGTACTCTAGCAGTCTAGACCTGGAAAACACTCCGGACACTGGGGCATGACAGAACGACTATAGCAGTCAGTGGCGGATCCAGGAATTTCATAATGGGGGGGGGGGGGCACAGTAGTACTAAACCGAAGGTAAATGCTTGTTATATATACAAACAAAATTTCAACAACAAAAAAATCAAAGGGGGGGGGGGGGGGTGGCGCACCTTTGGCAGCATAAATTCATTAGCCATTCGGTTCTGGGGTACTTCCTTGCAAACTATATATTACCGATTCTCGTTAATTGTTGTTAATGTATAATATTAAATTATTTAACTTTCATGTTCTAAATTTTGAATTTACTGGATGGGTGTACATGTATATATACAAAATTTAGAACATGACACACATGTAACAATGAATGTTTTGTTTCGACGACAGCGAGATGGACAAAGCACTTCTCAGGCCTGTGTATCGAGTTTATTGAAACTGCACGGTGAAATGATTTTTATTGATCATGCAAGTCCGTCAGAACGGGAGTCCGTTCGGTGCGATCCCTCCTCACCCCCTTTCATCGAAAATATCATTTCTGAAACAAAATAAGTTCATCAGTCATCTGTTTAAAGTATAATGTTGTTTAGACTTTGCTTATTTTAAAATATGTGAGAAACTGATTTGAAGAATGTACCAAAAATCCACCAAAATGGTACCCATTAAAAAAATTATGGCCCAAAGGAGGGTTACCTCTCCCTGACCCTACCCCGCATCAGTCTAGACGAACTCCAAAAACAGCGTTTCCGGAAGTAAGAAATTGAGACTGAAAAAGACTCCGAAAATAGAGTCCGCGCATGCGCACACGCACAAAAAATGGCGATTTTTCGGCAAAAATGATGAGTCTGCAAAAACTGTCTGTGCAAAGTTTTGGAAAGCATGGCAATTATGCCAGTACTCAGAAATGCTAAATAAAAGACTTCGGAAGAGATCGTATTTGTCAGATTTTTGATTTTATTTGCAAAAAAGGAGATATTTACTTTCAAAGTTGACGTTTGAAGTCAGATTAATAACAGAGAAAATAATACGTTTGAGAAGTAAATATGCATAATAAAAGGGATATATATGCAAAATGGGACAATATATATTGTAACTGTTAAAAACTTGACTGAATTTTACACATAAATTAGCAATCCGGTGTTTTATTTGTGTACGACATCTGAATTTAACATGTAAGTTCTTACCATCGTTATTTACCGATTTTTTATCACATACGAACAAATATCATTGTGAAAACATTTTTATCACTATAATCTATCAATATGAAAACTTTAAAAACCGCTCTTCTAGAAATTAGGGTCGCAACATGTCTTCTAAAAATGAACCTGTGAATATCTCTGCTCCGTGGTGAAAAATACGCATTTTCTGATTAAAATAAACACATGCTGGGTGTCTTCAAAAACAAATAAAAGCACCTTTATTTTAGGAACGACATAAAATTTAAATCAAGAGGACAATGAATCAAATAAGAAAATAATTCTTACCGGCAGTACTGAATTCGATGTCTTATATCCAATTTACTATTATGCAAGAGTTTGAAGCGATAGATACGTAAGTCAGTATCCACAAAATAATTTAATAAATGTTTCCATTCAACAAAAATTGAAATAAAGTCACAATGCACTAAATACAGCCATTATGCAGCCGTATATTTGGAGAAAGCGAACGACAATCCACCGTTTGTTTACATTGGACGCCATTTTACCGCAATGCATGATGGAGCCAAAGACTTTGTTTTCGGAGTTCACGCCGTTTTTGGAGTTCGTCTAGACTGCGCATCCCCTCCTTTTCCAGAAACCAAGCGATGGCCCTAACATGAATGGACTCAGTCAAAGTTGTATAAAACCCAAAATGTCTAAATAGGGGGAGGAGCAAACAAAGGATATATACATAGGGACCACCGTGCATGTAAAACATACAATACTCTTCAATTCTATTTTTCAAATTCAATATTCTAACTCAATAAATAGAAATTACTTCATATTATTCGAAAAAAAATACATGTATGTTCTGCGGAGTCAGCAGCTTCCAAACCTCCGAACACCTCCCACCCACCCATTTGCATGATTTGGGCCCTTCGTTGCCGGTTTTGTTCCCTCCCTCCCTCCCCCTCCCAACAAACACACCCCCTTCCGCACTTGAAAAAAGATTCTACGTGCCTCTTCTTATAAACTTTCGAAAAAATAACACTGTTGATATTTTGAGATAAATATATATGGGGAAGCATCCAGTCCTCTCTCCTCCAATATTTCTTTTTTGATCCGGAATTATGAAACTCGGTTTTAGCTTTTAGTTACTTTTGGAAAGTGTCGGTAAAAGTCGAGAAAGAAAGAAGTTTGTCAGAATTGACAGGAGATGAATAAGTAATCTTTTATTTTGATGATTTATTATTAATTATAGAGTTGAATGTGTAGACATAGATCTGAAATGAATATTCAAAGTAGTATAGATTTCAAACTCGAATTATCTTGGGAAAAGTCATTGACATTTTGTTCCATGTTTATGAATTTTTACTTCATGCCGAAAAAAGGTCAAGTAATTTAGGGTTTTAGGGCAAAATCAAATTTCTTCCTGAGATAAATTAAAGATTTGCAAATCGGTTGTTAGAGGCTACGAGGCAGGGGAATGAAATTCTATTTACATTTATGTATACGTTATGTACAGATACATATTATGTATTTATGTATACATGTACAGAACAAGAAGTTTGTTGATTCAAGAAACATAAATTAATTCAGTATTCCTAGCTTCCAAAACTGTGAAATAAAAACACGTAGAATTTACCCCCAACTTAGGGAAAATGCCTAAAAATTTTATTTAAAATAAATTAAAAAGCAAGTTTCAATGTTTAGATTAATCCCATCTTTCATCATTCAGGTTGGGACCAATCGCCCAAATGGGATATATTAATCCATCTGGGATATAATATCCCAAATAGATATAAATTTACAGTGCAAAAAATGAAAATAAAATTATTTTGGCTATAAATATCACAAATTCGCATCAAAATACTTTTAAGGAATAATCTGCAGGTACCAGGTACTTTTACCTAGCTGAAATCATGATTGTGCCATCCAAAATATTTGATGAAAAGAAAAATTGATAACATATTTAATAAAAATCACTTCCACAAGGTACCTCTATTTTTATAAAAGTACCATCTGTTTCTTATCTTTTTGAAAACCCTGTATATTTCAGGCATGAATGAAATTCCTGAATAATAATGAAGCAACTCTGAAAAAGCCTTATATTTTTTAGCAGGTATAGGGAATAAGCATAGAAAATATGTAAATGTTTATATGTAAATCCCTCCCCAATGCTCTTTTGACAAGGGAAGTTTCCCCCAAGAAATAGTATCAAAAGCTATAGTAAAACTATTGTTACTAACGCATCGCATTTTAATGGAATTCTGAAACATGTAGCAACATTGACATGATATGTGTGAAGTTAGACTTCACCTGGCTTTAGTGGTCTATGTTCTCAAACTCATCACTTCAATAACTACATGTACGCACAATTTTAAGGTGTGGTGAAATAATAAAGTTATTTGCTGTATGAAGACACTTAAATGCATTGTTTAAATTTATCGTAGATTAACGTTGTGTATGCAGTCTGGTTGAATTGAATGTTGGTTAGAAGTCCGTCAAAGAAGAGCAGAATCATGAAACTAAGTCAGTGACCTTCAGAAGACAACAACAAGTGATCCTTTGTGGCCATGGCAACTGAGATACCTCCTGACCTCTCAGAGGTTGTGACCTCTGGGACAACAGGTCAAATTTCCAGCTTCTGTCCACAGTCTTGGAGATCACTGCACCAAAATGTGATTGAGCGCCGGAAACTCATCACCATGCTTGCGAGTCGAGTCCCTGGTTCATTTCATTTCCGCACACAAACTACGCCAAATGACACCAAGACAAGACTGTACTTTTTAGGCATGACTTCAAAGGGACGTGAGAATACCTTACTGTATGTAGACCTTCCTTCAACTACTCCAGAAGTGGCCAGTGTTCTCCCTCAGTGGCCACTGTTAGAATCATTCTCGGCCAGTCTTCCAACGTCCCAGCTCTCTCGGGAGGAACAACTGATGAGGGAGAGGAAGAGGATGGGTACTTACGGAATCACATCATATGAGCTGATAGAGTGGCAGGGAAAGTTTGTGTTTCCAGCCTCCAACTCCCTGTACACCTGTGTGGATGTGGATATCACGGTGAGTTTTATTATATGTCCATGGACTGACAGTATGTGGCACAGATATGATAAAAATGACATTCTTGGAAATTAAAATAATTAATATTTCATATCATGATATAAAATATATAAAGAATATACAATTACACAAGGCACACACAATCACACAAAAGAGTTATGCCACCTTAATTTTGATTTACCAAAAATTCATTATTTTTAATTTAAGACACAGTCATCACAGTGCTGGATAGCAACTTTCTAAAAGAATACATGCACCCTGTTTCTTGAATTAAGCTCTGTTTAGAATCTTTATTCTGTGTAATTCAGACCACAGATCCTGTGTATCCTGTCAACATAGGGACCCGGGTCGAGGGGGCCAGATTGGACCCAAAAGTCTGCCCCACCAATACCCAGCTCCTCGCGTTTATCAACCAGAGTGACATCTGGGTCACCAACTTAGAAAACGGAGAGGAGTGTCGACTCACATTCACCAAGAAAGGTATTTTCATCAAAGGAGAGATATTTATTTGAATGTAAAAGAGATTCAGAAATAATTTCCAAGCATGAATGAGTATATCTGTATATAGGTACATTGTACGTCCCTATTCTTAGTGGGGCCAGTAGTTAAACAAAAGTGTTTATAGCTTTATTTATGTGTGATAAAAAATTATTTGGTAGTGACTCTAATATTTATGTATTTCAAATGTTAACCCATTAATTGTGGTGTAGGGAAATTAAGTTTCAATTTTTAATATAACGCAAAACTTTTAAGTTGATGATATCCAAATTTTATTTTAAAAAGCTTTGGTATGTAAAGAAGAGACATAAAATTGGACTGATCTCAGTAGTTCAAGGACCGTTCAGAGTTTCATCTTTGTTATCTCGAATATTCTATATCTATTCTTGAAGTGTGTGACTATTATTGCTGAATTTTAAAAACTGAGGTTTCATGTAAGAATATACAGTAAAACTGTCTAAAAGCAAAGTGTTAGAGAAGAACAAATTTAATTGATTATAGATGCAATTCGCAATAAATTTATAAGCCATTTTAAAACTATAGGGAATGAACATCACTTCACTGTGTGTGTGATTACATTATAGATATGTCTGCTGTAATCTTCCTTATATGTAAAATGAAATATCAATTTTTTAATTTATTTGTTTTTATTATAATTTTTCAATTTTCTGTGTAGGAAGTGGTAATTTGGAGGAGGAGCCTCTGTCGGCGGGTGTGCCGTCATTTGTTGTACAGGAAGAGTTTGACAGATACACTAGTTACTGGTGGAGCCCCGCCCCCTTACAGGGTCACGACCCTGATATCTCTGACCAGTCAGACTCCTCCTACTGTTTACTGTACGAGGAGGTGGATGAAGGAGATGTGGAAATTCTGAATATTTTTTCTCCATCAGTGGAAGGGAGAAATGTGGATCAGTATCGATACCCCAGGGCAGGTGAGGGGGAAATGTGGAGGAGTGTGGAGTTCGCGGCTAGGATAAGGCTGTCCGAAGAATGTCACAGTATACCAGCTGTAGTAACTTCTATGAACTACCTAGATATGACGTCATAATGGCATATGACGTCAAGTCACTGCAAATTTGAGCAGACATGACAGGGAAAGTGTCATAACTTTTACGTTCCATTCACATCACATGTAGAATTTTTTTTACGTTGATGTTTAATTCATTTGTTTTGATTGTTGTTTTCGGCTGTTATGATGGTGAATATTTTCAGTATAATATCGTTATTCCTTTTTCTTGTATAACATGTACGTATTCAAATAATTACAAAAAAGATTGTGAAATGCTCCCCCTTACACGTCCTTAGACAAATTTTGAATTTATAAATCTTATATATATTAGACTGGCACAAATGAATAATAAGGATTAATTTAAGATATTCTGTGTGAATTTACTAGAAAAATATGTCCTCTAACTGAATTTTGCTGGAGGAATGTATGTAATTTTTCCCATTTTGTATAAATTGTGATGAAGAGTGGAAAATGACCCCTTGTATGTAGGTAAGTTGAATTTCTCGTGAAATATTTTCTTAAGAAATAAAATTCAGACTTGCCCCCAGCACTTTATATATACCCAAGAATACGTCTAATTGATTTATGTAACAAGCTGTTCACAATAATTTTGTTTTTCACTTGTGCCAATTCGATTTTTGTGAAAATTTAAGAAAATTTATAAGTGTCCGTCACATGATCAACACAGTCATGTGACATCACAAAAATGCTTTTTTTTTATAATACCTTATTCAACTCTCTTTACAACTTAACTTTGTATGTATACTTAGATTACAAATTAAAAATCAAAACAGCTCAAAATAAAATTGTATATATCTAATGCATATAAAGCCTTCGGACAGCCTTATCTCAGCCGCGTTGTGTGGATAGGAGAATTTCTTGTAGAGAATATGAAGGAGATGTGGAATTCTCTTAATGAGAGATCCTCATATAGAGAATGTGGAGAAATGTGGAATTCTCTTAATGAGAGATCCTCATATGGAGAATGTGGAGAAATGTGGAATTCTATTAAGTGATAGCCATACATGCCAACTTTTGAAAATTCCCATGGGGGATTTTGCGCGTGACGACAATTTTCAAAGCTTTAAATTCACGACATTTTGTCGTGAAAATAAATGTTTATCCCATTTTTTTTTTTATTATTTATAATATCAATATCACTTGTTAATACAATTTAAGAATAAATAATACAAACAAATTTTTTCCTTCCAAAATTCAAATATCTTTTGCTTAAATAGGTACCTCTCTCACTAAAGAAGTGATATCTGTTTAGTTTAACAACATTATGTTTGAAAAGACACAGAATTTGGTGAAAAATGTGAAAATGTACAACTTTCAGTTCAGTAAATTTTGTTGTAAAGTTTTAGAAATATATGAGGTTTTGTTACTGTACAGTTTCTGGGAAACATTTGTAAAATTCTCTATTTACATTTTACACAATTAGAATTTCCTAATTAGACATTAGATTGAAAGAAATATTGAAAAATTACAATGCACTGTGTGTGTGAGGGTGAGAGAGAGAGAGAGAAAGATAAGAAAATTTGTTTGTTTTGAAGTGTCATTTTATTCCCTTTTAATAAGTAGACATCATGATGATTAATTTAATCACACACACAAAACAAGTTGAAGAAATAAATTTACTCTTGAGATCATCAATTATTTAAAACAAGGATACCCCTATCCCAAACAAAAATTAAAATTGTTATAAACATGATGAACTTTTGCATAACATTGGCAGTGTCATGTGGGTATTCCGTTGTCATATTACATTGGGGGGGGGGGGGATTCAGTGTACTTGAGGGTATAAGACTTTGTTGTTTCATCTAAATTATTTTCATCTTATTTTAACCGGTAAACTTTACAATATCTTAAAATCAGCAGCTATGCTTTGTTGTTTTCTACTTTCGTTTTTAAAAAACGAAACATGGATTAATTCCGATTTTGTTGTTAGTTTATCATATCACTGTATTCAATTTTCGTTTTTAATAAAATGATATTTAATTATACCCTAAATCTATGTGTTTCACTATATGCATACCCCTTCTGACTGAAAAGTTTAATCCTCTAACTGCTCCAGGCTATGTTACCTGTACCTGGACAGCTGTGTGCGTTCAAGCGAGAAGTGATTTCCTGTGGCTAATTAACACCTCTGCATGCGTTAAATAAACAAAGAGACTAATCTGTGTGCATTGAATAAACAAGTCTGATATTCTAATCCCGATTGACAAAATATTGCGGTAGGGAAACTCAGAAAATCGGAAATTTTAGGTTGAATGTTTTCAAATCGGGATTTTTGGGCAATTTTGCTTTCCCGATCGGGAGAGCGGGATCAAAGGGTAAAATCGGGAGGATCCCGCCTAAATCGGGAAAGTTGGCATGTATGGATAGCAAAGATAGTTTATTGTTATCAATGTGAACACGGTAAAATTATACTGATGATTCTTAAATTTTTTTCAATTTGTATTTCAGGAACTCCCAATGCTAAAAGTGTTCTAAAGCTAGTCAAGTTTTCTCTGGGTCCTTCAGGCAAGGTAAGAATAATGTCAAAATTACATACTTGATCTGAACTACATAAATAGTGTATTCTCTTTTTTGCCATGTAAAATACTTTTACAAAAGAGTATGAAAGATCAAATCAAAAGCAAATACAGATATGGAATTAAAAAAAAAATTTAAGATTTATCGATTTCCAACCGAAGGAAGCGTACATATGAAGATAGATCCTTGTATATTAGTATTTTCATTGATATTTGAGTTATGACTTTATAGTTTGGGCAAGTCCAGCATTACCAGCTGTATGAACCACTGCTGACATTTTTCCCGTGGATGGAGTACATGGTTAGGGCAGGCTGGACCCCTGATGCTAAACAGTAAGTCATGTTTACCTTCCTTAGATTGGAGTACATGGTTAGGGAGTTACGCTTTAATTGTTTAAAAATCACGGGTCACTGACGAGGCACATTCAAATGGCTTCAGGTAAGAAATCAATAACGGGGACATCTACAAGCAGCATGAAAAGAAAGGATAAATGCGGGCGTTTGATATTCTGTATAAAGACAAAATGTGCAGTAAATTTTATATTTGAAATCAAATACATAGGATATATATATTTATTACTACGTAAATGAAAACAATTCAATAATTGGTTGTATAATGGTGATAGAGTATATTAGATAATGTACAGACTAGCAGTCTGTTAAAAACAAATAGGAAAAATGACATGAAAATGAATTTAATTTCAATGAGTACTTGACTATCGTTGACTAAAACCTCCGACTTATCGACTAAGCTGTCCGAGTAAAATTGACATCCCTAATACTTATAGAATGTAAGATTGTTTTATGATTTTTGTAACTCTTTTTGAAATTATTTTTATAATGAAACAAAATTTTCACCATAATATGTTTGAACTTGAATATAATACAAACCTGCAAATTTTTAAGCACAGTATGTTAAATAAAACTAAAGATATTCAAAATCAAAATTTTGACTTAAGTCTGTTCTCAGTGTATGGTCTTAAGGCCAGGTTGGATTCAGTGGTTTAGGATAAACTGTATTGTCCTCTGTAAGTCAGCGGAACCTGTACACTGTTACACTCTCCATAGGTCTTCTTATGGTAATACAATTCTAAGTTTTGATGTATAAATATATATTTTCAGTGTGTACGCAGAATTGCTGGATCGAGAGCAGAAACACTTGAGTGTTGTCTTGATTCCAGTCGATTTTTTTGTCCCAGTTCAGAATTTCGGAGATGAGGACATGAACGTAGACTCTGTCAGGAAGACTGTTCCTTCACTCAGTGTTATATATGAAGAAAATTCTGATATTTGGGTCAATGTGAGTGCATTTAAATCAAACTTAAAAATTTATTTTGGTTCATGTTCAAAATGGTTTCAATTGTACAAAGTGTATTGATTATCAATGTAGATGGTGTCTTGAGTTACTGTATGGATGAAATGAATAAGTTAAATAACATGTATTTGTGAGTCACACTGCCTGTAAGATTTTGCCAAAAAGTTGAGATGAAATTAAAATTAACCAGAATTTTGATGTACTATAATTCTTTTTTTATTCGATAGTTGACATTAGTATTCTTATTCAATGGAAATTACAAATTACAATGTATTTTTTTCAGACTCATGATATTTTGCATTTTTTACCTCACTCTGTGCCGACGGAGGTTAAATTCCTGTGGGCATCAGAGAAGTCGGGCTTCCGTCATTTGTACCGCGTCAAGTCAAAGTTAGAAAGCTGTGATAAACAACTCTGTGCCATGGATCTCCTCGAAGAGGGTCAAGGTATATGGCTGTGTTTAAATGGTGCCCAACATTAATCAAACAAACACTAATGTTAACTTGATCATGGTATTTTAATATTCAGTGAACATTGCTTCATGGATACAGTTGAAATGTTTTTTTCTTCCTACAGATGGACACTGTAAAGCCAATGTGATACAAGAAGAAATGCTTACCTCAGGGGATTGGGAAGTCAACGGAAAACAGGTCAGTCAAAAGGTCAAATCCAGTGGAAAAAAGGGGGTGGGATGGAGGGGGAACAGATTCAAAGAAAAACAGGTCATGTGTAAATGGCAAAATTTAGTGGATCAAAAAAGATTGGGGGAAAGGAATGTTAGAAAAGAGTTTGGAGATTTGGAAGTTAATGGTAAGCAGGTCAGGTGACTAACTGCCAAATCTAGTGGATCTAATTGGAGGGGGGATGGAAATGTTAAAAGTAGGTAAGAAATTCAGAAATGCATCATACTTTTAACACCATTAGGCCTATATGGTGAGAATTACAATACACTTTCCACACTGCAGACCACAGTTCACTGAGCCTCTGGGTACACTTACATCAAAAACTTCCTTGGTATTCACAAGGAGTTATCTTTCTTGATATATGAAATAAAAAAAAATATTAACACATTATACGGTAGTGTCTGAATTATTTTAAAACTACATGTTGTAAACATTTCAAATTAAATGTTGGTAAAAGACGTCCTCTTATTTATAGATCTGGGTGGATGAGGAGAGAGAAATTGTTTATTTCATTGGTCTAAAGGACAACGTACTGGAAACACACCTGTAAGTATAGTTAGTATACAAAGTAAAGTGTATGGTTCTAATATGTGATAAGTAATTCTCATGTGTGATAAGTAATTCTCATATGCATAAACAATCTCGTGCCTAGTTATGATTAATTTTCAGAATAAAGCGTGAATTCTTCAAGAAATTTTGCACTTCGTATATTCCATTTCTTTGTGGCTTTAACTTGTGTAAAATTTTACTTAAAAAATGATGTTGTTTATAAAATGTTTACATTCAGTGTAATTTTTTTTCTTCTTTGAAATCCATTGGAAATCTACAACATTCAACCCCCTATGAACACACAGAAAACCTTGTCACATAAGAACTATATAAACTTTCAATACAATGGGAACACGTTAATGTATATTGGTTTAATATAATAAAAAAAATTACCCTATTATTAAATATAACAATTGCATGTAAAGAATTTTTTTGTCATTTGTTTCCCCTTGCAATATTCATTTGCATTATTTAACTTACCACATCAAAATGGCTCTTACATCTTTAACCTGACCAGTTCTGAGAATAAAGATGAATGAAATTAACTTTTATGAATAGGGCTGAGTATCAGCTGGGATTTTTGTATTGCGATATATTGCAATATTTTAAACTGTATTGGGATAGGTATTGGAATATTTTTAATACATGTAACAGTGAAAATACTCTTTCATTATTTTATTAACCCTCATTTACAATCAGAGTGAATAAAACTACATATGTGTTATAATTATGTTGTAGCAAAGAAAATTTTTGTCAATTTCACTTCAGTTTTGCAACGAAATACAACCATACAACAGCAATTTTATATTTCGGCATGATTGAAAAAGTTTTTGGCATCTTAAATTTCATAATTTAACTTTAGAAATCCCTAGCCCAAACGTTTTACCGATATACTGGAAAAACGTATCACAATATGATATTTTTTGTTAAGGAATCACAATATACAGGGATATCGATATTATTGAGCAGTCCTTTTTATGAAAAGAGAAAATTAGAGAATGTAAATATAAGCATTGGATGTCATTGGTCGTTTAACACCACATGTCTGCATGAACAAGTCATGCTGGGCTAACTGCAGTATTCATGGTATGGCCAGGTGCTGTTATGTGACCAACAACATCCAAAAATAAGAATTTAATCTTTATTAAAAAGAAAACTAAATTCTTATTAAAATGTGTCAGAATTTCAGCATATCTTGTGGTGCATAATTTGACAGAAATCACCTCTTCTTAAACTTGACAATTTGAAATGAAATAATTATCATTAATCAAATTCAGAATTATATCTCGAAGTCTCTTATCAGAGGGTCTATCATAATGATTTTTAACTGTTCTTTCTTTTCTATATTTAGGTATGCAGTGTCCTATACCAGACCCTCAGAACCGGTCCGACTGACCGCCCTAGGCTATTCCCACTCTGTGTCTTTCAACTCTGTAAGTCTCAAATATTAATGCTGAACAGGGCAGCTCCACACTGAGTCCTAACTTATAATTCTTTTATGTCTGTAACACTAAATCATTTTTGTTTTACAACTTTGTCAGGATTGTCTGTCGTTCGTGAGCGTGTACAGCTCTGTCAGTGAGACTACTTCCTGTGCTGTGTATAGGATTCTCCATGACAACGGTCCGATCCGAACAAGGACGTGGGGGATTATAATGCCTCCAATAGGTAAGTATAACACAAAGTCAAGGCTTCTCAAAAACTGTTTGATATGTAAATGCTGAACTCAGAAATAAAATTGTCTGATTTTACAGGTATATGTTTCGATTAATTTATACAATCATGTAATTGTACAGATCGTTAAATGACTTACTTTTTACTTTGAAACACTACATCATATCTAACCTTTGTTGTTGTGGAGTAAATTTAGCCATTGTTAAAGTGTTTGAATATGTGTTTACAATTTAAAAAATCTTTAAACTAAATTTATGGCATTTTAAGATAAATACTGTGAAGTCACTAATTTTTATGGGGGCTTATAATATTCCTTGTTTCATGGTATGAAGACACCCACAATTTATTTCCTCCACGAAAAGCAAAATTTGGAATAAATAACAAAGCAACACCTCTAAAATCATGAAATCAAATTCCAACAAATCAATATTTTTTCTCAAACCATGAAATTTTGACCCAATGAAAATACATGATTATAGAGTTGGGGACATTTTGAAAAGATTTCTTTAGTGGACTAATTCAGTAGATACTTTTTGTAGCATGCCCAGATTATCATGCTCCGGAACTCTTCTGCTATCAGAGTGACTCGGGATTTGTACACCATGGCTTGTTTTTCCATCCCCACGGTGAGGAGGGGGGTAAGAAATACCCCACAGTCCTGATGGTGTATGGAGGCCCTCAAGTTCAACAGGTTACCAACAGCTTTAAAGGAATTAGGTCAGTAAAGGTCAAAAGGTCAGTTATAATCTCAGGTATAAGGTTAAAAGGTCATTCACTTGACAGGGTCATAAAGATCAGTGCTGACTTTTATATGAATTTGATTTTAAGTTTTATATGTAATAATTCTTTAAATCATGTTTTAAAAGTACGAATAATATTTTGTGTAAATCACATGGTCTTAGATCACATGATATATTTCGTTGTTCTGTTTTGTTTAAAAAATTATTTTTATCTAGATAAAAGAGAAAAAAATTGGATGAATTGATAAATTCATTGTCTTGTGCATTTTTCCCTATGATACATTAATTCAAAAAAATTTTAATTTGTTTTGTTTGATATGTAGCAATGTTGGTAACAAATCTTGTTTGACATTTATTTAACTATGGTGTACAAAATTTTATCTTTGAGGAGGAAGGAGGTTGGAAAAGGGAGGAGGGGGGGGGGGGGCTCTTCTTTTTATTGGTGAATACTGATTGATCAAGTGCTATGTTTAAGGTATAAGCCAATTTTTTGTTTTTGATTTTGTTTTTATCCTAGATTTTTTTCTATGTATGTTTAGGTTTTTGCGTCACCATGCTCTTGCCTCCAATGGTTATGCTGTTGTTGTGATTGATGGGAGAGGTTCTTGTGGGCGGGGCTTAAAGTTTGAGTCCCACATCAAAGACAGACTAGTGAGTAAAATATCAGTAAATGGGATGAGATATTGACAGAATGATTTATATATATATAAATAGGGGACACAGTGAAAGTGGGGGATACTTATTTTCATTCAGTGTCTATGTATAATTTTTTTTGTAATAATTTTTATGCATGACAGTAAATTTCAAATGTTTAGATATCAGAAAACACCATCAAAGACATTTATATAATTTTATATGGTCTATTTGGTCTTACTTTTATCCAGGTTTAGACTGTGTTTTATTTATTTCTACCAATATATACTTTGTAGGGTACAGTAGAGATAGAGGACCAGATTGAGGGGCTTCAGTTCCTGTCCTCGGCGGGGTTCTGTGTGGACATGGACAGGGTGGGGATACATGGCTGGTCCTATGGAGGTTACCTGTCTCTGCTGGGCATAGCTCAGAGACCTGATGTCTTCAAGGTATACACAAAGTGATAGTATAATTCAGTCTCAGTTTTTTCCTACATAAAGGTAATTTTGTCAAGTTAAAATTGACTTTGAAGTTATAGAGTGGTACTGCTAAAGGAAATACTTTTATGTACATGTATGTTGTATTATAGAGTGGTACTGCTAAAGGAAATACTTTTATGTACATGTATGTTGTATTATAAATTCAGTAGTTAATGCCCTGACTCCGAGTCACATCAAAATTGTAAATGAGGAGTAGAGGGTATAGTTGTATCACTGTATCCGTCCATATTACAGTGTACAGGATTTTTAATGCAAGGTAAAGCCTGGGGGTTAAGACAGTTTCTAGCTAACGTCCCCCAGTGTCTCATATCTGATCACAAAAAAAATATGAAACAAACTTGATGCAGTGCATTTTCTAATTTGCGCTTCGTTAATCTGGACACTTGTATTCCTGAGCACCTGAATAACTGAAACATGTTGGTATATATAAATACACATTGTTCCCCATATTTTGTCTGGGTGGGGAAGAGTCAGGATTGATGAGGCTCCACTGTACTTTGTCTGACATGTACATTGAAAGCTACATTTGACGTAGTGCACTTCAGTGAGGAAGACAGGATTGGCCCCATGTGAAGCTTATCATAAGTAATACACATTACTGTCTACTGTTTGACAGGTAGGGATACCTGGGGCACCTGTTGTTAACTGTTGAGAGGGATTCATTATTGTGTACTGTTTGACAGGTAGGGATAGCTTAGGCACTTGTTTATTGAGAGGGATTCATTATTGTGTACTGTTTGACAGGTAGGGATAGCTGGGGCACCTGTTGTTTTATATTGATTGGGATTCATTATTGTCTACTGTTTTGTGATAGGTGGGGATAGCTGGGGCACCTGTTGTTAACTGGCAGCTGTATGACACAGGATACACGGAGAGGTACCTGAACGTTCCCTCCCGAAATGAGGCCGGCTATAGACAGGGATCTGTCCTGAGTCATGTAGACAAGTTCCCAGATGAGTAAGCCTCTATTAACGTTGCATAATTATCATGTGTTTGTGTAAATGCCTGTCAGAATTTTACATAAAAGAATAATTTTTTTCACAATGATTAAATTATTTTTTATGTTATACCCTTTCTTGTTTGCAGGGAAAACCGGATTTTAATTATCCATGGATTAATTGATGAGAATGTCCATTTTCATCATACCAGTGCCTTAATTACAGCCCTAGTTAAAGCTTGTAAACCATACAGATTACAGGTAACTCAGTCCTGATGACTAAAATCCAATTTTCAGTAAAAGCAGCTAAAAATTACACTGCATTCTGATGTATTTTTTTATGTAAAATTTGTTTCAGATTTACCCAAATGAACGACATGGAATTCGTAATCATGAAGCAAGTGAACACTACAAGACAATGATTCTTAGCTTTCTACAAAATCATTTATGAATGAGACTACATACACACTTTTATATATACATCTACATTAAATTCAATGACTTAAGATGTTAAACTCAACAATGCAACAATGCAAGAGAATGAGGAATTTTCTCCAAAAAAATAAACCAAAGATGGAGAGAAGAGTTGATGAATTGATGAATTCTATGGAATTGTTTTATCATGTTTTTTTCATCATCCATATGATTGCTTACATGTTAAGCATCATAGTTTACTTAGTCTGTGGACTAGACTTGGAACTGGACTAACCATATTTAATCTTGAGCTTGAAGATTGAGTTATATATTGCTCTGTTTTTTTTTCAATTTTATGTTTAACTTTAGCTAAAAGAAAGTTCATGTGAAAAAGGTAAAAGTGAAATATGTTGGTGTAAGAGATATGAGGGATTTTGTCATGTGGTTGTGTCAGATTTTACAAAACATGATTTTGAACAATCTTTAGTTTTGATCTGTATTTCAGTATGATTTTCTCAATCTGTGTACCTCTGCTCTTTTACTAGATATGTTAAAAAAATCTTCCCAAATTCATTATACATACCAGCTGAGACCATTTGCTAATATACCCATCTCTCACTCCCTGCACTGCTTGAATGATTTAAATCTTTCTTTAACAAGGAAGAGCTTTAGATCTCTCTAGAATGTACATGTATATGTGACTCGGTATTAATACTTTCACTTGAGTCAAAGATAATTTTTATGCACATCTTGAAAAATGGGTCATAATACTTTGCACCTGTCAGACAGTATGTTGGTATGTTGGTCAGTAGACCATGTGTTGTCCTCTCAGTATATTGAGAACCCTTTGCTTGATAGACAACAAACTGGATACAGTGGTACCCCATGAAGAATAGATGACCCTCAGTCTTAGTATTATGTTTGCCCCTGACTAAGGCATGATTAATTGTTTGTCACTATTATTTCTGACATTCTTAATTTAAATGATATTGCTACATGGGGGGCATATATGTTACCCAAACTGTTTCTTGTTTAGAACTTCCTTCTTTGTTGTTTGCTATACGGGTACCATTGGTGTGTTTCATGAAGCAAAATATAGCTTATTAAGTATACTTCTAATATGTTGTATTTCCTGCACAATTCTTCTTAGATTTATTTATTGAACATACAAGTCTAAACAAGGAACATATGAAGTAGCTTTATTTTTGCACCTCCTTGTGTTGAATTCTTATTCAAGAGTATTTTCCTATCAGAAAAAAGACACTTTTTTCAATTTTGGTTGTGACACAAACAATTCCATGAAATGCTTCAAAGTCAATTTTCTCTTCCTGATTTAAGATCTTTGTCTGATTTCTGTTTCACTTATGTGTCATACCTAATCCAAGTCACGAAAGTGTTGACTCCACCTTCAATAAAAGTGGGATTTAAAAATATATGGGTCTTACTCATACAACTTGCTTACACTAGTTATTGATTGCTGTCTAACCAGTGTGATTTCTTGTATAAAATTGTAGATGCAGAAATATTCATCTTAAGGTCAGACAACACGTTCCTCGAAAATATATAATTTTTCCCAAGAATTTGACACTGAAGTATTGCTACTTAAACAAGTTTCCTCACCAAAAATTGAGGTACCTTACCAGGCATTTGGGCAAGGTACCAGAGGGTGATATTTCCTATATAATCCATATAGGTAATCTTTTGAATTGCCAATGTTACAATTTTTGGTGTACTTATTTTTTGAAACATGTTGAAAACAATTTAGAAATCACAAGAGAATGACAATTATGAATAATTTTTGATATAATTCCAAAATATAGAAAACATATAATTGAGTAACATGTCGTCTCCTTAAGCTAAGGACAAGACTAGAGATATAGGAAAAAATGCAGTAGTTCTTTGAAAATGCCTTTCTTTACTCCATCAGATAAAGCTTGCAAACTTTTTATTTGATTACAATAAGATTTGAACCCTTAACTTAAATTGTAAAATTAATACCACGTGGGTCTAGAGTTCCAGATCCACATGATTTGTTTGACAATCATTTTATACTCAGAATAGTGCCAAGGGCATCCGAGGTTAATTTTATTATTTAATTAAGTAATTGCAATACATACAACAGCAAAAATATGGATGATGCATGATGATCCTTGCTTTTTTGTGTATTCATTTAGATTCAGTAGATAAATAACATACAATGCATCATTTGTTCCTGTTCCGTAGCTTTATTAACTGAGATAAAAAGAAGTTCCTGGTTGCTTTAGGGCTTTGTAATTCCCAGTCAGTATTACAGAGGATTTTGAATGCGTCATCACTTTAGTTGAGTGTGTATGATAAGTAGATCTTATGAAGCACACACTCGGATTTCTTCTTTCTAGATTTGAAGAGAACCCAAAATTGTCACGCTTTCAAGCAGGTCATCGTTTTTTAATCCCTATAACTTTTTTTTAATTAGACACGCATTTTCATCATTGATTATATTGTATATTTTGACTTTATGCTATTTTTAGCATAAATAATAATTTAATAATTTAAGCATAAATAATAATTTAATAATTTAAGCATAAATAATAATTTAATAATTTAAGCATAAATAATTATTTAATAATTTGAGCATAAATAATGATTTAATAATTTAAGCATAAATAATAATTTAATAATTTGAGCATAAATAATAATTTAATAATTTGAGCATAAATAATAATTTAATAATTTGAGCATAAATAATAATTTAATAATTTAAGCATAAATAATAATTTAATAATTTAAGCATAAATAATAATTTAATAATTTAAGCATAAATAATAATTTAATAATTTAAGCATAAATAATAATTTAATAATTTAAGCATAAATGATAATTTAATAATTTAAGCATAAATAATAATTTAAAGAGCAGATAACTCTCTACAATTTCATTCCTTAAAAAATGTTCCATCTTCATCAGCGATTTGTTACAAATTTTGGCCCATTTTTCATACTGAATTTCATTTTTTTTTTATCTTCAAGTACATATCCTTTTGTTGAAAACTATCTTTGTCCCATTTTTTAAATCTTCTAACAATCTGCATATCACTTCTTAATAAATAGAAAACTTCCCTAAAAAGCTACAATTTAGTTAGCTTGGGTTGTTTTACCGTAAATGACTTACTTAAATTTTAACAAAGATAACTGTTTATGGTCCATTTTTCTGCTTAAATTCTGGTCATAATAGATATCTTCATTTTCTCTTAAAAAATATAGCAGTTTTATATCTTTGCATGTGAATTTAAAATGAGTGAGATTGAAATTGCTATGACTGTAAAAGCTTGTTTGTAAATGATGTACTTTAAATATCTGTATTTGTCATGCCACATAAGATTCTGTGATAAACCTGCAATAAAAGCTTAAAATGACGTGTGTATTATTATGATGGATTATGTACATTAGTATCTATAAGAGGAATATGCATCCACTATTTTCAAAAGTTCGGGGTGAATTTCTATGAACGTTTTACAAATGATTGTGTTGGTTGAGATGAAAGTAAATTACTATTATCTCTTGCTGCAGATAACCAGATGATTAGATTTCACTTTTCTTAGTACAGTAATTAAAATACAATAATTCTCAAAGTATTGATTTTATAAGTGAATAACAACTTAAATATTAAATACTAGTGAGTTCAGGGAAATAAGGCTGATATGGTAGAAATTGGTATCAATGTGTTTAGATCTTTATATTTCTAGGTAGACTTCTATGTCCTTGTTGTGGCCTCATGTAGACTTGAACTGTGAGCAACACACATTACTTGATACTTTCAAATTGAAAACAGAGAATGACTTATTGATAGTGCACAGAAGAAGGTTCAGTTGAAACTTACTATACAATCAATTATAAAACTAATGATGAAATAACTATCTGAAACTTATTTTGTTTTGTTTCATCGATGATAAAATCAAAGAAGAAATAAATTCCTTGATAAATTTTCAGAGTCAACTTTCATATTGATTCAAGTAGAGCATTGTGTGCGTTTAATTGTCATCCCGTCTGGTATCTCCTATTTCTCTTGTGTTATGCAATCATGTCAGTCAGTTGCACAAAATACAGAATTTTCGTATTTAAAACAAATGAAATCAGAATGTGATACAAAAAGGGAATTTATTATCATCCTGATACAAGCTGAATTCAACATGCACTATTCATAAGACCGAGTAGACAGCCGTCTTTTGATATACAAGCAGAGAGCCCAATTCCCCATTTTTGGCAGTATTATAAACTTGATCAGAAGAAGTTCCTCATTGCTTCAGAGTTTTTTCATTAGATCTAGATAAACATCCACTAAGCGAACAGTACTTACATACAGTGTAGACAGAGGAGTATACTCATTATTTGAAGAGAACACAATTTTTCCCTCTTACAAGCATATCATTATTAAACTCGTGTCGCTTTTTAATTTGATACACATTTTTGCTTCGATATGTGCACTTATGGAATACCTTATATATATTGTAAACAATCCCTTGAGGTGTCACAAAAATGATAAGTGTAAAGTTATGAAACAATGGGCAAACAAGTCAGACATTGAGGGGGGAGGTTGCAATAAGCCTTTGTGTGCTTCTCTCAAAAAGCACAACGTATATCCAGATGAGGAAAACTGCTTGGTCAACGAAAACAACCCTTTTATCAGGTGGAAGGTTTCGAATTTTTGCCAGCATCACACATTATAAAAATCACAGACATAAAAATTTATTGATGATTGCATTATACACAGGAAAACTATGACTAAAAATTCATTGCTATAAAACATGCAATCTAAAGCGTCATAGAAAAATGATAAACTTTAACTATTAAAATGATACGGATAATCTTCATTTATTTTCTCAAAAAATATAGTTATAAGTACTGAAAAAATGATTTGGTAGGGGTGATATTGACAGATCGGTCGGAGTAAATAAAAAAAAAAAAATCATTTTTTATTGTTGGCCTTATCTAAATTTGGTGAACTGTGAGTTACGCACATTACATAATGCTTTCAAGTTGAAAACAGATATTGAATCACTGGTAGTCCATAGAAGATGACTTTGTTGAAACTTACTATATATTCAATTATAAAACTAATTATATATGATACAGCTATCAAAAAACTATTTAATTCTCATTTCACCAATGATAAAATCAGAGAAGAAATTTCTTTGATATTATAAGAATTACACGTAACTTTCATATTGTTTCAATTAGAACTTCTGCCTACATTTTTCATCCCTTCTGATTTTCTCCAATCTATGCCTTAATCATTTCAGTCAGTTGCACAAGATACTGAATTTCCATATTTAAAGTAAAAGCAGAATGTGATTAAAAAGGGAATTTATTAATATTGTCATCCTCATAGAAGTTTAACATGCACTATTCATTTAGAACAAGTAGACAACCGTCCTTTGACATATAATTACAGAACTCATTTTCTTTTTTGGCAGCATATGTTATAAACTAAATCAGAAGTTCCTTATTGTTTTGAAGTGTTTTGTTATATGATCTAGATAAACATCCCCTAGGAGTAAATGCTGCAGCACTTGCGTATAGTGTCGACAGATAGTATTAAGGAAGTATGCTTATCATTTGAAGAGAAAGCCCCTCTTAATTCTCCCTCTTACAAGCATATCATTATTAAACTGGTCATGAGTTTACTATTTTCGATTTGATGTCACATTATGTGCATACTTGTAAATGGAATATATTATTGGTATACTGTAAACAACCTTCATTTTTAGCAATTCTGTGATGTTGGCAAATGTCGAAATGTTCCACCAGAAAAAGAGGGTTAGTTTCCCTCATCTTTTATTTCTTACATACGTAGCGCTTTCTTGGAGAAGCACTCCATCCTCCCTCTCTTAACGTATGACTTGTTTGTATATTGTTTCGTTACTTCGGGCTTGTTTATTTATTATTTTTGTCACGACAAGTGGTAAGCAGCTCTTCCTTGTCTACAATTTCCCCCAAAAGTGAGAACCATACTCCTAATATGTCTTTGTGTCAGGTACAAAATGATGCGAAAATTAATGAAGAGTAATTTTTGTATAAGTTAATCAAGGGGCTTCTAATTTGATTGCTTATGAACATGAAATAACCAGGAAGTCTGAAAACAAGTTAATAATTACCTTAACCGGTTCCTTATCTGTTGTAAATAAAGTGAATTAATAGAGTTAGTTATTGCATGTATTAAGAGCAAAGGCTTCTTGACTTTTTTAAAATTGCATACAATAATTTTATGAAACACTACATGATACACCTGTTCGGTGCCTGGTAGATGTGAAGTTGACTAATTTATTAGTAATGGATACTTTAGAAACGAGTCAATTTAATTTGCATAAAATAATTAATTTTGTGACACAACAGGTCATATACACACATGAAGGACTGAAAATGCATGGGCTCTTTTGGATAAGTATACTAGTATTTAATTTCACACCCAACAAGCATTGTAACCGCCAACATCAGATGAAGTACGGTGCTTTTACAGCTTGCTTTTCTAAGATTTTTTTTAATTTTTCAAACAATTTAAAGCTTTGTTATTTTTGTACACTAAGGATAAAAGTATTATTCTATAATATTTTGCAATCAATCAGTTATACCTATTGGCAAATATACCAATTGTTGAATATATAGTCAACTCCTATATTTCGTATTAATTCGTGAATACTTGAATATACATACTCCATACAAGTGAAACGAACCAGTCTGTCGAGATTTCTTCTTTATGGTAATTGTAGTTCCAGCAATGAGCAAATGAAAAATGCATTTTTATGAAAATAAATGAAAATTTAAATTATTTTTTCTTCCTTCTAGACACATAATTATAATTAAATGGTTTTTATTTTATGCTCATCTGAGTCTATATGCAATAAACTTTTGGTATTCCATGTCGAAAATTTAAATAATTTTTTAAAACTCTAAATAGATGTATACAGATAAATACAAGACTTTACAAAAATATTTTACAACTCTAAATACAAATATACAGAGAAATACAAGCCTATACAAAGAAAAAAGATGTGAAAGATCAATTTATCATTAAAAAAAAATTTCTTCAATTTCCAGATATAAACCGAGTTTATTAGAGTATATGTTTGAACATCTCGGTGATAAAGATGATCACGTGGTATTATTTTGGTGGCGCCTTTTTAGAGAAATCCACGAACGTGTACTCTGTTCGCTCTTCTTCTCCGTGTATGATCGGTTTCCCTTCTGTGTCTGAACTTTGGGGATTTTTGGCAAATTCAACATCGATGTAAACTAAACCATCCTGATTCTGTAAAAATAAAAGATAATTTTAGCTGTGATATTTTAAAGAATAACTCCTGATCACAGAAACAGGAAGTGGATTGTTTTGTGGGGGGGGGGGGTGCAGAGTCACGTCTATCACAAAAGGGAAATACAGTAAAACATGTCTAATCCGGACACCACTGGTTCCAAAAAATTGACCGGATTAGGCAACATTCCGGATTTGACAACATTTTAAACAATTGAATTAATTGAAATATATGGAGATAACGAACAGTATTCAAGCTCAAAAGTCCATTATACAATACAAAATAGGAGCAGAGCAAACACGGACCTCCAAACATCAGAGGTGGGATCAGGTGCCATGGAGGAGTGAGCATCCCCTGCCGACCGGTCACACCCGCCGTAAGAGACAAAGTTTAAATCGTATTAGGCAAGATTTCGCAATACACAACATTCGGACTACACAAGTGTCACTGTAACTTGGTTTGAGAAAGGATAAAAACTTCTAACATGTATATCCTATGTTTTTCTTTAGATAAGGAGAACACTTTGCAGAAACACAAGGCCAAAATCTTTTTTCCTAATATTTAATAGCCAAATAGAGAAATCAGGATTGTGTTAGTCTCAAGAATTTTATTTCAGTTATAAAAGGAATGGTACCAGCTGAAGGGACGGAGGAATCTTTCTGAATCAGTGATGCCCTATCTCTTCATTATAGAGTTTTAATGTATATGGATTTACACGATACTGTAGAATATACATGTACAATGAAATGACCACTTTGGATCGATCTCTCCTGACATTATAAAATTTGGAAATATTACTCTCATATCAAAGTCGATCCATTTTCTTTCCGTTGTTATACCTAGTTTTTTCCTGCTTGTCGGACAGTTTTGGGATTGGGTTTTACACTATGCATGATCCACCTCATGAGGAATCTTAATTCAATCATTTTATTATCACTTAAAATTAATCGTTTGCTGACAAACTTTGTGACAAATATGTAGGTGGATCGTTTTAATTTGTCTAAACTAAAACTTCTCATACTACTTGTATAAACATCATACCACTGTACGTGAATCGTCATTCCTGTTAGATGCTTTTGCTTCTTCTTTCTTTCCTTGCAACTCCTTTTCTCCATTTTTCTTTTTTTCTTTCTTTGAATCTGTTTGGTTATGTATATTGGGCTTTTTTGAATACATGGTTTCATTGTCATCTAATTAAGAAAGGAACACTCATTAAACATATTTTCTTAATTACTTGTGGAAGCATTTCCTAGAGCAAATATAGCGATTAAACGTTTAGGCATTTATCAGAAAGTTTAAAAGATGAAGCATTGCTCTGAACCAAATGTAAGGAAAACGATATTTGTTGAAACTGGACTTACATTAAAATTTCAGATTGATTATAAAAACATATAGAAATCATTTAAATTTCAGAATTTTGAACAGGTTAACGTGATGCAGTTTAGTGTTTGTAATGATTGGAGAGAGAGAGAGAGAGAGAGAGAGAGAGAGAGAGAGAGAGAGAGAGAGAAAATGCGCACCATTTTTATCCTTTATGACATCACTCTCCGCTACGTCATCTTGTTGTCTGTTCTTAAGTAGGACACTCTTGTCAACAGCAGCGTAAACAACAACATCCGCCGGTGTATTATCCTGTTCTGTGGCTATAAAATATGAATTAATTGGAAATGTGAAATATACACAGACAAACAGATTTTAATAATTTACAGATTTAGGCAATCCAGGTCATCCAGAGTAGTTCTAAACGCTCCAATATCGAAATTCCCTTGCACTCTCATATATATATATATATATATATATATATATATATATATATATATATATATATATATATATATATATATATATATATATATATATATATATATATATGTGAAAATAAAAAAAATAACAAGGCAACAATGTTAGTAAAACGTAAGCGCTTTACTTCTTCAGACGTTTTACATCCAAAACAGAGAAAACACTACTAGCAACTAACTCAAGACAACAGGAACTGAGCTATGCTGAAACGGTCAGTAGACAAAAAAACATATTTAGTAACAAGGAAACCACTCAACAAATTAACAGGAGTTCGTTTCAAATCCCCGATAGTATGTATTGGAGAAAAACATGGAAGATGCAGCATCGAGAAAATAATCCTTCGACAATGAGGTGTAACAAGAGCAAATTCCACCAATCTCGGGGAAGATATTCAACAGAAAAACAATCATATAGAAGCAGAAATCCTGGACAGGGACCTATGAAGTTCTTCAATCCTTCTGGAAACTTATTCAGAAGAAATGGTACAACTTACATTGGAAAGAAATCTTCACATTATATTTTAGGAGGAGGCAAACAGAGCCAAGGACAAAGATTTCAGCAATACCAATATCTATATACAAGGCCAGAGGAAAAATTGGGAACTATAGACCCAAAAGTGATAAACCTGTCAAGTAGGCGATTAAACGCGGCTGAAATAAAATTACTGTCAAAAGGATTAAAATTTACACCAACACCAAGTGACTCTAATCTTCAGGAATTATCTAAGGATATCAAGGAATATACAAGAAAATTAAGACTAGCAGAGTATTTTCATGATGATGATGACGAAGACAAAAACACGTCTGAAAGTGATCTTGTTAGGAACAAATCAAATTTTAATCCAAAGAAAGGAAGAAACAGTCTCCTTGACACCGTGTAATACTCTGCAAAATATACCTCTAAATAATGAAAAAATAATACAAGAAATAATTTTTTACGAAAAGAAGAGGAAAAGGCTGTTCAATCATTGACAAACGATAGTTCAATCGTAATCAAAAAAGCAGACAAGGGTGGAGCAGTAGTAGTTATGAACGCAGAATTCTACAAAACAAAAATATTACAAATGCTCAAAAACAGCGAGTTTTACGATGAAATATCTGAGAACAGTGATAAAAAGACAATGCGAAAAATTAAAAACTTAATAAAGAACCACAATACAACTTCCTTCTTAACAGCCAAAGAAGGGGACTTTTTAACTAATTTTGATTTTAGAGAAAGTGCCATTTATGGACTTCCTAAGATACACAAATCTAAAATAATTAAGGAAGCGATCAAAATACAAAACTCTGCATACATTACATGTAGCGATCCCGATGACCTTACATTTAGACCTATCGTGGGTGGACCAAAAGCTCCAACACAAAGGCTGAGTCATCTTATGGACATATTACTGAAACCTTTATGTTTACAAGTAAAAAGTTATGTTCGAGATGATCTAGATTTTCTGAAACATCTTCCTGAAAAAGTTAGTTATAATGCCAATCTAGTCACAATGGATGTTACTAATTTGTACACTAATATTACTACTTCTCTTGGTGTCAAGGCGCTCAAATACTGGATTGATAAATATCCACACAAAATTAATGGGCGTTTCAGCAAAGACTTCATCTTAGAGGCTAGTAAAATATTATTGAAAAATAATACTTTCTCTTTTAACGACAAACATTATGCACAAAAGAAAGGAACGGCAATGGGTACAAAGATGGCCCCTACTTATGCCACCCTTACACTAGGATATCTAGAGGAGAGGATGTATGAAAAAACTACTCAGTACTTTGACCAACAGACTTCAGAAAATATAAAGAACAATTGGAAAAGATACCTTGACGATTGTTTTATCATTTGGAATGACAGCGATGCGAATCAAGCAGTTTATCTAGATATTATGAACGATCTTGATTCTGACATCAAATTTACAATGGACGAGAGTTTACATAGCATTCCATTTTTGTACGTCCTTATAACAAAACATGGAGAATGTCTTTCTACAGAAATATACTACAAACCGACAGACACCCATCAATATCTCCATTTCAGTTCCTACAAAACGTTCGATCCCTTACAATTTAGCTAGAAGAATCTGCACTATTGTTAGCGACAAGAAAAGAAGAAATGAACGTCTGAATGAATTAAAAAAAATTCTGCTTGAACAATGCTATCCTCTTGGAATCATTGAGGACGGAATCAAAAAGGCTATAGAAATCGACAGAGAAAAAATTATTAATTCTTCAAAAAGTGACACATCAGATTCCGCAATATTACCGCTTGTAACTACATACAATCCAAGGAAGTGGAATATAACCCCTACAGTGCGCCACCTCAACAACACTCTGCAGACTGATGAGAAAATGTCCATAGTACTGGAAAAATTTTAATTCATCAACAGTAAAAGGTTCAACAGTAAAAGACAACCTAAAAACCTCCGAAGAATATTGTGTAAATCTACATTTCACTAACGGAATTCATATATGGTCAATAAATGCTTTGATTCACGTTGTGGAACCTGTCAGTATATTAAAGAGGGAAGTACTTTACGCTCGGAAATAAAGAATTTACTGTCAATGCAGACATGACCTGTGCATCTAAAAACGTTATTTATTGTATAACATGCGCTGGATGCGGACAATTATACATAGGAGAAACGGGGACCACACTACGCACTCGTATACGCATATACATAGACAACATATCAACCAACCTGAGTACAGAAAAATAAAACTTCAGTGAACATCTTGCTGTTTGTGGGCTGGGACAATTCTCAGTTTATCCCTTTTATAAACTCAAAACAGAAAATCTTTTAGAAAGACGGGAAAAAGAAAAACATTTCATCAAGATTTGTAAACCGTCCTTAAATAGTTTAATATAGACTGTTTCATGACTTTATTATTTATTACGCTATTGATGAATTGCGTAATTTTACTTTGACTCTATAATTGTTTCCTCTATAGGCATTGTGACGTCATTGCATTATTGTTGACGTTATCATCAGGTAGCGTTATAACGTCACATGTTTGAATTGTTTTGGAATGTAAAACGTCTGAAAGAAGTAATGAAAGTGCTTACGTTTTACTAACATTGTTGCCTTGGTTTTTTTTTTCATATTAATTACCGGACACTGTGATATTTCTTTTCATTTTTGGATATATATATATATATATATATATATATATATATATATATATATATATATATATATATATATATATATATATATATATATATATATATATATATATATATAATTTAATATTGGTTGTAACGCATCATTTCATTGGATAAAAAATAAAGAATTTAAAATAAATCGTATAACCTGGGTTGCCTACGTCACAATGACTTACGTCAAAAACGTATCAATCCGCTTGATGTTACATTTGAAATACGTACAATTTGAAGGCATTTTCGAAGGAGAAATTGTCGTATTTTTTACACTTAATAATGGAAAATTACATTATAAGGAATGAATTTAATAGCTAACAAAGTTATACTGGTATAACCTGGATTGGAACAGTTTACACTTTTTTATAAACCACTTCGCGGTTTATAAAGCGTAAACTGCCCCAACCCAGGTTATACCAGTATAAGTTGGGTAGCTATTAAATTCATTCCATAAGGAGGTTCGATCCTGAGCTTTTGAGCAGATTTTGTTCTGGACCTTTATTTCTAAAATTCTGCATCATTTTTAAGTTCTAACTTTAAATCTGGATTCTACAATGCAAATTAAACTATATCCAATGAAAAAACCGCGATTAAATTCCATCCAAATAGGATTAAGTCAGGAACTATATTTTGTGGCGGAAGGTTTTTTAGAAGAAAATGATCAATTTTTCCCTTTTGAAATATATACAGTACTGTTATGTTTAGATTCCTATTTTTCAGTGCTGGTTGCACACAGGGCTGTTTTTTGCAGTGAAATATTTTATGCTGGCTCTTAAATATCTATTACATTATTTCTTATGAATTCTTTCATTATATTGTGACAAATATAGTTAATATATTATGTAAGTCCAAAAAAATTGAACCAACTTTAACATAAAATTAACAATTTTTAGGGAATGTCTAAAATTTTACATCATAGACCCCCACTTTTGTTTTTCTTTTCTGAATATATAAGATAACTTTGATCAATCTGCTTAAATTCAGCAAAAGTTTAAGACTTTAAAATAATTTTCTTGCTTGTGAAATTTTTAATGCCAGAAAAACCACATTTTGTGAGTGCAGAAAGGTCAAATAATTGATTATGCCAAGCAATATGAAACTTTTTCTTAGTCAAAATTTTAATGTGTCTTTTTTTAAATAGAATAATAGTTTATTTTGTCCCATGATTTATATGGATAAAAACATTGAAGGGAAAACGTCGAGAATGTGATTTTTGATTAAGACACAGATTTCAGTGCAAAAAGGTCATATTAAATGTACTGTAGCGCCAAAAGAAGCATATTGACCCCCATTTTTTGTTTTGATTTTTTTTAAGCTATGTGTGTAGAAACTAAAAATATACTTGTAAAAAAAAGTTTAAGACTTTAAATATCAGGATCCAACTTCGTAATATATATATATATATATATATATATATATATATATATATATATATATATATATATATATATATATATATATATATATATATATATATATATATATTAGGAATGACTCTAATTCTTGGCCAAATTATTCGAGTATAACCTGGTTTTACGCTTTATAAAACAGCGTAAACTGACCCAAACCAGGTTATACTCGAATAATTTGGCCAAGAATTAGAGTCATTCCTTATAATTTAATTTTTAAATCATTAAATAACTATAGGTGTAAAATTTCGTTGCTTTTTATTAGTATGCTCAGTATAAAGTATCTTTACCATTAACTGCCTGCTTACATCCGATTAGTCTTTCATCAGTGTTTCTTTGCTGCGGGGCTGATTTTTTCGTTTTACAATACATCGTCACCGCCACTGTTAGAATTAAAACAAGGACAAAAACAGCTGTGGAAGCTCCAATTACAATCATCATTGTAGTATTACCAAACAGAAACGACGAGGCAGGCAGAGCTTTAAATAAAATGAAAACGTGGTCATCAATATTTTGTAGTATAAATTATTCTTAATTCTTACAAATAAGACTTTCAGAATAGAACGATTGAAATGAAATTGATTTATTCACTTGCATACCCCTAAAAATACTGAAGTAAAATACGATATAGTAAAGTGAGCTATAGTATACCACAATAATCAGTTCTTAAACTTTATCTCTTGTAAACATTTAAAGTGTTTTTCCCATAGTTAAGTCATTCCAAGTTTTTTTCTATGTTTATCGTCCGGGTGCGCCCTGGTTTTTGACATCCAATATCAGAAGAAAAAAAAAACAAACAAAATCAGGAGTCCTGAAATTGAGTATTCTGATCGAAATTCTTGAATTCTGTAAATTTCTCTGAATATCGTCTACAATATGCCATATTTAATGTATATTTTAAGCATTTAATGCCTTGATTTTGCAATAAAAAAGATGTTTCAACGAGAAAAAATAAAATAATGAAATCAAATCCTTTGAATGAAATGATTATAAAAGTCTGTGTTATATTTTTGGCTTGTGTATTTTTTGCGAATGGGCGGGTAGGTTTTTGAAAGATGGGTGGACGCTAAACAGAGAGAAAAAAAACTTGGAATGGCCTAAATGAAAGTGTCAAAAATTTCACAATGGTGAATTCATATTTTTCTTAAATAATGTTAGAATTCTTATTTTTATTTTTTTTTTATTAAAGTTTTGTATGTAAACATTTTTTTTTCTGAGTTTATGTTCATGAATATGGATTTAAGGAGATATTTTGCCTATTGAACTCAAAATAATTATAGAATAAAGTTTCACAGTAAATCTGATTATTATAATGAAGTATCAAATAATTTTTTCAAAGAGTAGTACATGTTTAGAAGCTTGATAATAATTCATAGTTATAAACAATGTATCACAATAAATTAAGATAACCAAAATGTTTTAGCTCGAGACCTCCGATACTTTAAGTTCTGGCTATATTATAACCAAGAATTCATTGTATGAGAATTCTTTATTATAAATAAGTTTTTTTTACTGCACTAGTGTGTAAACAAAAAGAGTTCTGTAATACTAATAATAGTTTTCGTCAATATTAGGAGATTACTTTGTAAAATGTAAGAAGTTACTACACCTTTAGCTTTGACTTTAACTTCCCTAGGGCTGAAAGAACAATTGATTCTGTTACAGCTCTCCAGTCTATACAAGTATTCGTTTCCTGGGGACAAAGATCCTAGATCATAATATCCAATGTTATCTTTACCAGGGTCTGTCAGATTTTTAACAACTCTCCAGTTGGGCCCCTCTTTCCTGGACAAGACAAAGATTTGTTCTGGTCCTCCATTAAAGTCTGATATCCAGGTAAGGTTGATGTATCCACTAGCGTAGGAATACCATGAAAAGTTCAAAGGTGGTTGGGGTTTATCTGATAGTGACGTGAAGAAAAATATTACTTCAAGGTAAGTAAAGTTCTATACACCATATTCTCGTAAACGCATTGTTAATAAAACCACACAGTGCTAGTTATGTTAAAATAATATTTCAAACCAGATGCTTAAATCCATGGTCATAAATTATTTTAAAAGATACAACCTTCGGCTTTGATTGTTATATCAGCTATGACGTTTTTTTTTATACATCAGTGATTAGCTTCCGAAAGATCTCCTTGTTTATCTAGTAGTTTTCTCAATAATGTAATTTTCATTTTATACCGATATATTTTGTTTAACAAAATGTAGAGAATTGTTTAATATGTCTAATTTTGTGATGAATTCGTGACAAATAAATTACACTGTCAAATTCTCTGTTTTCTATATCTGCATCATTTTCTGTAAATTCTGAAGTAGTACACTTTTTTAAATCTTGGAGAAGACTAATTTGTTAAAACCCTTAGGGGAAAATAATGCATATCAAGATATCAAGGGATTATTCATGTTTGAATATTTACATCCACTGAATATTATTTCCTTTATTTTAAAAACCATTGCCGTTAATCAGTCCATAAACAACATTAAGCAAGCCACCTGCATAGATTTCTTAAGCAACGGCTGTTCCATCAATTATGTATACAATGACATACAAATCTATAATACAATATTTAACATATTTAATTTACTTTGAATTTTTTTGTTTAGAAAAAGATATAAATATAAACAATAAAATGTTTTTCTTTGTTTGTTAGAACGGGAATTAACGTCGCAGCTATTGCAGAAAAAATTCACATGACCCGCTTACGCAGGTTATGTATTTTTTTCCTGCAACAGCTGCGACATTAATTCCCGTACTAACAACCAAAGAAAGCATTTTATTGTTTAAATAAAAAAGAAAATTGACATAGTTTTCATGCTATTATTTGAAAGAGTAAACAGACAAAAAGAAGCGACATGTACAAAGATTCTGAAAGGAAATCCACATATAAATAATGTGCTTAAAAGTATCTACATTTTTTTCGGCAAAACAAATTTATGCCGTGAAAAATATCAATATTTTTTTAAGAATTTGATAAAAAATTGAAATGATTAATCATATAATTAATTTCGTACTTTTAGTGAGTGAAATATTCTCGAGTAGGCAGCAATGATGGACATTCACTGAACTTATTCATTTATCGATCTATAATTAAATAGCAAAAATAATTTCAATGTTTAATTTATTACAATGATATTGTTAAACGCCGAAGATCTGGACGACAATAGAAGGGTCTGTACACCTCGTCTTCATTGACAAACTGTGCAGGTATAATTTTTAATTGGTTCACAAAATGTACCGACATTCAGAAGTGCAAAATGTCGAACCGCAATATAGGTAGGCGACAATACGTGCCGCCGCGTGCACTCTCTTCTCTTCTAAGGGTTGGAAAACATCGCAAACTTAAGTAGGAAAACATAATTTAAAAAGTGTTGCTTAAGGGATGTCACTCATAAGCTTTTGAGAAAAAATTGGTCAGAATCTCTAACTTCAAAATTATTTATTACAGTTCAATTTTTGTGAGATATTTGAATTAAACAATGCAAATTATACAATATTCAATTTAAAAACTGCGCACAATATTGTAAAGAAACAAGATTTATGGGGGAACTACTTCTTGTGGTAGAGGAATATTTCTAGTCATTTGTTTGATATAAAATCTTGGAACTGTAGCCCTATATATTTTTTATTCGGAGAAATCTTTTCGTTATTATATGCTAGGAATGTTAAATATAGGTTTCAATTAATATTTTTTAAACAATATCATGCATTCACTCAACAGCCTTTGCCAAAATATGAAGCTTATTTAAAGAAAACAAGACAAAATTTACATTGTTTTTCGCCTGAAAATCGCATATTTTGACCAATATCTCAAAATGTATATAACTGAGTCCAGTTTTTTTTCTTCATTATTTTAAATTACACGATACATTCATCCGATCAGCACTAAAATCATAGAAAGCTTGATACAAGAAACTATTTATTGCCTATCTAGGTTTTAAAAACCACAGATTTGATATTAATATTTTAGTGCAAAAAGGCCAGACAATACTTTACGCGCATTAATTTGCTGCATTTTTTCAATAATAAATATTATTCAAAATATTTAAGCTAAATAGAATTACATTTATAGCCATGATTGCATTTGGTAAAATATGATAAAGGTTAAAATGATTAACCTAAAAGTTACAATACAAGTGCAAAAAGGTCAAGTTAATTGTACCATTGCTCAGTAAGATGCACACTGACCCCCAATTCTATTTGCGATTTTGAGTCATGCTTTATGTGTAGAAAATATCTAAAATATACTTCTAAAAAAACCTTGATATAACTCATATCGCGAATGACATACCTTAAAGGCATTTGAATTCTAACTTAAATTTAAGCCTAACTTACTTAAACTAATACAAAGTCTGTTCATTCCTTGTTGAAAGTTCCGCATGCTTAAAAGACTTTAACATGCATAAGAATGTAATGTAGAAAAATCACTCGAATGATGTTAATACAACCTTCAGCGTTAATTGTTATATCAGCGAAGACATTTCCTTTATATTTCAGTGAGTAATTTCCGAAGGATCTCTGATTAGGAATAGGAATGGTGCTGTTGATCCATTTTTTGTAGATAACGTTATCTCTTTGTGAGATTTTAGTTAATATAGACTGCGGTGTAGGTCCTGACCATGTGAACCCTGATGAAGATGTTAAGGGATTTGCAATAACAGGCAAATTAACATGAACGTTGACGTCCTGGCCACTCTTTGACCCATAGATGCTTTTGAATAAATTGGAGTTATCAAGGCGGGGGTCACCTAAAAGATAAGATATATAGTTGCAAATAAATAATTCTGAATATCAAGCCACCTTAAAAAAGATATTATGAATAAATCTTTTATATTCATGTTTTTGTGTTTTTAATGTAAAATTTTGGTTTATATAAATTTCTAAAAATACAGTTTTATTGAGTTTATGAGATTGTGATGGGGAATTCTACGGGAGAAGTCAGTGAAAATTAAACAAATGATCTTCATAAACAATGCATACATCAGAATATTTCTTTTTACAATCTTGTAATTTATAAAATATACAACATGGTTACTTCTACTATGTTCATTTGTAAAATATATATCTTTTCCGATCAAGGTTTCTTTTCTCACCAAGAGAGTGAACTGAAAACTCCTTGCTTGCAAAGATTTTTCGTGCATGCAAGACAGAAATTAATTTTTGAAAGAGTAATTGGTTGCTTTGAGTTGTAAATACATATTATATATAAATGTATATAACTATTGAAACAAAAGCAAAATCATCAGTATTTTTAATCGGTATTATTCACGGTGTACATATTTTGTATGACCGGTCGGCAGGGGATGCTCACTCCTCCATGGCACCTGATTCCACCTCTAAGTTTTGAGGTCCGAGTTTGCTCTGCTCCTTGTATCGTTTCAGTGGACATTAGAGATTGAATATTGTTCAATATCTTCATGTTTCATGACAAATATTCG